GGCTTTACATCCTGCACAAAGGAGATATGCAGAATGAAGGCAAATACAGCAAGCCTGTGTTCTGATGAGGCATGTAAATAACTAGCAGATGCATGCATAACAAGATAATGGCACAGAAGTGGAGGATATTTAATTGATAGCCATTCAAGCAAGTTATCCCTTCTCTAAGCTAATGCTGAATCAAGAGGAAAAAGTGCCTGAGTATTTTTTTTTCAGCCCAGTGATCCGTTATAATTACATATCTGGTAATTAGAAAATTCTGCTTTCTAAAATGTGAAGAGTAAATGATAAGAGAGTTGCATTATTACAGTAATATATTTTAAAATATAAATCAAACAGAGTACATGTGTGCCAGTTATTGGCCTGCAAATCCAAACTGTGACTTCTCATAACTGAATTGTGTTGCAGGGCCTTCTTATTCTTCACCGCTTACTATAAATTCTGAGACTTGTTTGGTGAATTTGGTATACTTCATTTTGAGCACTAACGTAAATGTTGAGATGAACTCAAACTGAATTGTGACCATATACTAAACGGTGAACATGGTAAATGTCCACTAGGTGGAGCCAAACCACCATGAACTGAAACAGCTGTGACACTAAAAGTTCACTTAAGGTGGTAAGTGTGTGGAGGTGAAGAAGGTGAGGAAGTGGCAAGGGGAAGAGAAATACAGACTGTGCCTCAGGCTGTATTATCTTTTCTCACTTGAGTTGGGAGAAATAATTCACATGCTCCCACCTGTGCCCATTCCTCCCCACTTCTGCCCAAGCTCACTCCAGAACTGCTTCGGAGGGATTCAGAGGGGAACTATGAAAGCCGACAGGTGTGGAGGAGCAAACAGTTCAGACAGACACATCCCTTAAGGGAAGATTTATTAAACAGGATTCTCTATATCCTAGTAAAGAGGAGAGGATACAAGTTGCTGAAGTACAGGTAGCAATTGAAGAGAAACAGTCCAACGAAAGAGATTCTCATTCAATTACATCACATGAAAGCAGACGACTAAATATTGACAAGTGTTTGTATACAGTTCTAGAAGGCTAAATACTAAGATGGGTGAACTTGAGTTCCTGGTATTAAATGAGGACATTGATATAATAGGCATTACAGAAACTTGGTAGCACAATGATTATCAATGGGACACAGTAATAACAGGGTACAAAACATACAAGAGGTCACACTGGTGTGGGAGTGGCCCTATACGTGAAAAAAGCATAGAGTCAAATTTAATTAAAAAATCTTAAATGAATCGAACAGTAACAAAGAATCTTTATAGACAGAAATCCCATGCTTGACTAGTCAGAGCATAGCAACAGGAATATACTACTGACCACCTGGCCAGGATGGTGACAGTGACTGTGAAATACTCAGAGAGATTAGAAAGGCTACAAAAACAAACAAAAAACAATAATAATGGGGGATTTCAACTATTTCCAGATAGACTGGGTACATTAATGTGTGCTTCTTGAAGCAGCTAATCCTGGACCCACAAGGGGAGAGGTATTTCCTGACTTGATCTTAAATAGATCATATGATCTGCTCCAAGAGGTGAAGACAGCTGAACCACCTAGTACTAGTGACCATAATGTAATTTAAATGTAACATCCCTGTAGGGGAGAAAATACCAAAGAAGCCTACCACAAGTAGCATTTAACTTCAAAAGGGGGAACTACACAAAAATGAGGAGGCTAGTTAAACAGAAATTAAAAAGAACAGTCACAAGAGTCAAATGCCTGCAAGCTGCATGGAAAAACTATTTAAAAACACCATAACAGAGGCTCAAATTAAATGTACACCTTAAATAAAACAAGCCGTTAAGAGGATCAAAAAACCCACCACCATGGCTAAACCACAGAGTAAAAGTGGCAGTTGTAGGCAAAAAGCTATCATACTGGCAGGGTGGATGGAAGATGAGAAGCAGGCATATTCCCAGCTCCCTCTTTTAAATAATGGATGCTCTATTTATTGTGAAACTCCTCTGAAAATTAACCCTTTTCTCCAAAGGCTCCAATGTAAGCAAGTTCCACTGCATGTGCATTGGGCACAATCTCTAAAACTTGCCATTCAATGCTTCTCCTTTTATTTACAATGTGATGAGAATATTCTTTATTCCTAGAATGCGGAAGCACCCCAGACGTTGCAAACAACATTTAAAGTTATATTGCTAATGAAAAGGTTTTACCGGGCATAGCACCACATCGTACATAGAGCTAAGTGAAGGATATGGCATATAGTACATGAGAGGAAGCACAAAGGGGTGGTAGATTTAAGGATGTCGATGAACAGTAGATTTAATAAGAAGATTTGGTAAATCAAGGGATCAAAATGCAAAAATAGAGGCCCTGTGTTTGTGAAATATGGGTACAGATCAGACAAACTGAATTTTCTCAGAAAACAGAGATCCTGATGGCATGATGGTCTTAGTTATTGAGTGATTATGACTCAAGCACACCTACAGGCTCTACACAAATTTTCACTGGCTATGAACAGCCCCTTCTCTTCAAGCCCATCAGCAGCAATGAATACTTCAGGGATGGGACTTATGCTTGTGAATTCAGGTCTCACTGACCTCAACAACTGGCACAGCCTAACTGCACTGCATGCCCCACATCAACAGCCTGTCACGTCCTTGACTGCTGCTTTACTTCTCTCACCCTCCCATCTGTTCCTTCTGCTAGACAGATGCTAGGACATCCAATCTCCTAAAAATCAAACATTTACTTGCATTTGAGTACGTCCTACAACGAACAACATTACATACACACACACACTTATCTCCACAACATACAGATGTAACATTCTGCCTCTGCATATACTGCTTTGCAAGGCTACTTTATAAACCAGAAAGAAAAGGAGTACTTGTGGCACCTTAGAGACTAAGCAATTTATTTGAGCATGAGCTTTCGTGAGCTACAGCTCACTTCATCGGATGCATACCGTGGAAACTGCAGCAGACTTTATATATACACAGAGAATATGATACAATACCTCTTCCCACCCCACTGTCCTGCTGGTAATAGCTTATCTAAAGTGATCATCAGGTGGGCCATTTCCAGCACAAATCCAGGTTTTCTCACCCTCCACCCCCCCACACAAATTCACTATCCTGCTGGTGCTAGCCCATCCAAAGTGACAACTCTTTACATAATCAAGTCGGGCTATTTCCTGCACAAATCCAGGTTTTCTCACATCCCTCCCACCCCCATACACACACAAACTCACTCTCCTGCTGGTAATAGCTCATCCAAACTGACCACTCTCCAAGTTTAAATCCAAGTTAAACCAGAACATCTGGGGGGGGGGGTAGGAAAAAACAAGAGGAAACAGGCTACCTTGCATAATGACTTAGCCACTCCCAGTCTCTATTTAAGCCTAAATTAATATTAGCACTGTAGTGTCCAATAAACAATGGTCACATAAACACCACCCTATACCGGAAACCTACTGACCGCTATTCCTACCTGCATGCCTCCAGCTTTCACCCTGACCACACCACACGATCCATCGTCTACAGCCAAGCTCTGCGATACAACCGCATTTGCTCCAACCCCTCAGACAGAGACAAACACCTACAAGATCTCTGTCAAGCTTTCTTACAACTACAATACCCACCTACAGAAGTAAAGAAACAGATTGATAGAGCCAGAAGAGTTCCCAGAAGTTACCTACTACAGGACAGGCCTAACAAAGAAAATAACAGAACGCCACTAGCGGTCACCTTCAGCCCCCAACTAAAACCCCTCCAACGCATTATTAAGGATCTACAACCTATCCTAAAGGATGACCCAACACTCTCACAAGTCTTGGGAGACAGGCCAGTCCTTGCCTACAGACAGCCCCGCAACCTGAAGCAAATACTCACCAACAACCACATAACACACAACAGAACCACTAACCCAGGAACTTATCCTTGCAACAAAGCCCGTTGCCAATTGTGCCCACATATCTATTCAGGGGACACCATCACAGGGCCTAATAACATCAGCCACACTATCAGAGGCTCGTTCACCTGCACATCCACCAATGTGATATATGCCATCATGTGCCAGCAATGCCCCTCTGCCATGTACATTGGTCAAACTGGACAGTCTCTACGTAAAAGAATAAATGGACACAAATCAGATGTCAAGAATTATAACATTCATAAACCAGTCGGAGAACACTTCAATCTCTCTGGTCACGCAATCACAGACATGAAGGTCGCTATCTTAAAACAAAAAAACTTCAAATCCAGACTCCAGCGAGAAACTGCTGAATTGGAATTCATTTGCAAATTGGATACTATTAATTTAGGCTTAAATAGAGACTGGGAGTGGCTAAGTCATTATGCAAGGTAGCCTGTTTCCTCTTGTTTTTCCTACCCCCCTCCCCAGATGTTCTGGTTTAACTTGGATTTAAACTTGGAGAGTGGTCAGTTTGGATGAGCTATTACCAGCAGGAGAGTGAGTTTGTGTGTGTATGGGGGTGGGGGGGGGTGTGAGAAAACCTGGATCTATGCAGGAAATAGCCCGACTTGATTATGTAAAGAGTTGTCACTTTGGATGGGCTAGCACCAGCAGGAGAGTGAATTTGTGTGGGGGGGTGGAGGGTGAGAAAACCTGGATTTGTGCTGGAAATGGCCCACCTGTTGATCACTTTAGATAAGCTATTACCAGCAGGACAGTGGGGTGGGAGGAGGTATTGTTTCATATTCTCTGTGTGTATATAAAGTCTGCTGCAGTTTCCACGATATGCATCCGATGAAGTGAGCTGTAGCTCACGAAAGCTCATGCTCAAATAAATTGGTTAGTCTCTAAGGTGCCACAAGTACTCCTTTCCTTTTTGCGAATACAGACTAACACGGCTGTTAGTCTGAAACCTGTCTTTATAAACCAGGAAGCTCAAAAGGTTCAAAGTGCACACAAAGCACACAATTTGTTTGTTTTTTTTAAATACTCCAGTTATTTAGCTTTTTAACATGTTTCCACATAAAAGCCATAACAATTAAAGTACAAACTTACAATTCCATTCTGTACACTGAAGCCCAGCTGGTATTTCAGGTCTGGTCGTTTTATGAGGACGGTTGTAACAGGAGGACAGCTGACAATGTTCAGTTTCACCTGCGTCTGGTTCTTAAGACCCTGAAAAAATCCCAAATGTTAGCATTTTCTGAAGTGGTTCTAAAGTGGTGCTCACTGGAAGTATGTGAAGTAGCTGAGCTTGAAACCCTGTACCCCTCCCCGCTTGCAGCTGCAACTAACATAGGACTGCCCATATGAAGGAACATTCTGCCACTCTAAATTAAAATTATCCTATTGATCCTGAGGAAAGAAGTCAGGGACTCTTTCTGAACTCTTAGTCCAGCTGACCATCCTAAAACCTTACCAGCAATAACAATGCACTCTCATATAGATAGCACCTTCAATCCAATGATCTCACAGCCCTTCATAATCGTTAAAGGATGCAGCTTCAATGTGTCTAAGATACTATAATCTCCATTTTACAAATGGGGTAGTGAGGCCAAGGCCTTCTCTGCTCTAATGAATTATCGCAAATTTTCCAACCATCATTAACGCCAAACCACATCCAACAGCATTAGCAATACTGTGGGCTGTAGTTCTGATTGGCTCCCAATAAAGATGAGTGGAAGCTACAGGATGTTATGGAGAGGGTACCTAAAAGATGTTTCATTTTCATGACATGCCGACTGGTAGGGCCGATGGAAGAGAAGATCCGAAGTTTGGAGACTTCTGGGATGGAGGTTGACTGATTAAAAGAACTTTAAACTAGGAATTCGGGGGAGATCGTTGGGAGATGCTCATGTAATCTTCACACCTGATTTTAACATTAACCGGGAGGAAAATCAAATAAAAGAGAATACAGCAGTGGATAAAGGAACAACAGAGTGTAGGAGAAAGGACAACAAGAGGAAAGGCAGTGCCAACATCACTGACAGTAAGTTAGGTAGGCTTAACTGGCAGTAAAACGACTATACCTAATCAGGCGAAGAATCTGGGTGAAGCTAAGCAAAAACAACTAAGATGTCTGTACAGCAATGCAAGGAGCCTGGGTAACAAAATGAAGGAACTAGAACTACTGGTGCAGGATATAGGGATAACAAAAATACGGTAGAATAGTAGTCATGGCCGGAACACAGGTATTGAAGGTATGTCCTATTCAGGAAAGACAGAAGTAAAGAAAAAGGTGGTGGAACAGCACTGTGCATTAATGACAAGGTAGACTGTAAAGAAATTAGAAGTGATGGAATGGATAAAATGGCATACGTGTGGGTCAAAATCACTTTAGGGAAGAAACATAACAGAGGTTGCACTGGGATAGTGCTTAGAATCTGCTACAAATCCCCTGGATCTGATGTGGATATGGATAGAGATCTTTTCAGTATTTTTAATTAAATACCACTACTGGGAATTTTGTGATCATGGCAGACTAATTACCAACATCATCATGTAATACCAGGCACTCAACTTCACCCATCTCAGTACTTAAGAATTCTAACATTTGTAAACAAGCACTTATACAATTTGTCAATATTTAGTTGTTTACCTTCATGTGGTGTAATTGAATGGGACTCTCTTTTGTTGGACTTTTTCTATTAATTTCCTACCTGTACTTTATTAACTTCTCTCTTCTCCTCTTTACTAGGACATAGAGTATCCCCTTTAATAAATCCTCCCCCTAAGAGACGTGTCTGTGCGAACCACGGATTCTCCTACCCCTGTTGGCTTTTCCCCAGCCCTTAATTTAAAAACTCCTCTATGAGCTTTTAAGTATACATGCCAGTAACTGGTTCCATTTTGGTTTAGGTAGAGCCCATCCTCCCTCTATAGGCACCTCCTTTCCCAAAAGGTACCCCAGTTCCTAACAAACCTAAATCCCTCCCCCGAACATCTCATCCATACATTGAGACCCTGCAGTTCTACCCATCTAACTGGCCCTGCGCATAGCTGGAAGCATTTCAGAGAATGCTACCGTGGAGCTCCTAGACTTTAATCTCTTATGTAGCAGCCTAAATTTGGCTTCCAGGATCTTTCTCTCCTACATTTCCCTATGTCATGCATACCTATGTGTACCATGACCACTGGCTCCTGCCAAGCACTGCACATAAATCTGTCTTGATACCTTGAGAGGACCACAACCTTTGCGCCCGGCAGGCAATTCACCATGCTGTTCTCCCAGTCATTTACTAACCAACTATGTTTCTAATAATTAATTCCCCCATTTGTATTACCTCTCTCTTCATAGTAACAGGGGTCCCCTCCCCCAAAGAGGTATACTCAGTGTGAGAGGGTAGGTACCATGGCATCATCCGGAAGGAGGGTCCCAACTATGGGATTGTTTCCCTCCACTTCAGCTTGATGTTCTTTTTCCCAGACTTTCATCCTCCTCAACAGCACAGAGGCTGTCAGATGGGGGATGGGACCGCTCTATTGTATCCCAGAAAGTCTCTTCTATGTATCTCTCTGTCTCCCTTCGCTCCTCCAGTTCAGCCACTCTGTTCTCAAGAGCCCGTACTCAATCTCTGGGGGCCATGAGCTGCTTGCACCAAATGCACACATACGCCACCTGACCATAAAGCAGGTAATTATACATGCTGCATTCAGTGCAACAAACTGGCTAGCTCCCACTCTGGGGCTGGACTTCTGCCGGCATGATTTTTACTCTTGCAGGGTTGTGTGTGTGTTTTCTTTTCCTTTTTGTGGGGGAGGGGGCCAGGGAAGGGGGTGTTGGCCTAAATTTAGAGAATGTTTATTAGGTGTAACTGGCTGTCATGCTCAGTCTCTAAAGCCCCTCTGAAAACTCCTGTTTCCTGCTCTTGTTCGCTAGCTCCTCTGGTTGCTTATGACAAAGGGATCCGAAAAGGATCAGGGATCAAAGAATGGCAGGCTAGAACCTCATGTGGAAGCTCTCAGCCTTGCAGGCTACTAGGCTCAGCACACATCCCCCCAAATAGACCACACTATAAACTTCAATAAAGCAGGCACACAGCAAGCAAGGAAGCACACAACAACAAAACCACTGGTTTTTTTAAAAAAGTCTCCAGAGGTGATCCTGACAATTACAGGCCAGTAAGCCTAACTTAGGTACCGGGCAAATTGGTTGAAATTATAAGTAAAGAACAGAATTATCAGACACACAGATTAACAATATGTTGGGGAAGACTTAACATGGCTTTTGTAAAGGGAAATCATGCCTCACCAATCTATTAGAATTCTCTGAGGGCGTCAACAAGCATGTGGACAAGGGTGATCCGGTGAGTACAGTGTACTGGGACTTTCAAAATGCCTCTGACAAGGTCCCAACCCAAAGGCTCCTAGGCAAAGTAAGCAGTCATGGGATAAGAGGGAAGGTCCTCTCATGGATCAGTAACTGGTTAAAAGATAGGAAAGAAAGGGTAGGAATAAACTGTCAGTTTTCACAGTGAAGAGAGATGAAGAACGGTGTCCCCCAGGGATCTGTACCGAGACTAGTGCTGTTCAACATATTCATAAAAGATCTGGAAAAAGGGGTAAACAGTGAGGTGGCAAAGTTTGCAGACAATAAAAAATGACTTAAGATAGTTAAGTCCAAAGCTGACTGTGAAGAGTTACAAAGGGATCTCACAAAACTGGGTGACTGGGAACAAAATGGCAGATGAAATGCAGTGCTGATAAATGCAAAATAAAGCACATCGGAAAACATAATCCCAACTATATATACAAAATGATGGGGTCTAAATTAGCTGTTACCACTCAAGAAAGAGATCTTGGAGTCATTGTGGATAGTTCTCTGAAAACATCTGCTCAATGTGCAGCAGCAGTCAAAAAAGCTAGGACAGTGATAGACAATAAGACAGTAAATATCATAATGCTATGATATAAATCCCTGGTATGCCCATACCTTGAATACTACATGCAGTTCTGGTAGCCCCATTTCAAAATAGATATATTAGAATTGGAAAAAGTACAGAGAAGGGCAACAAAAATTATAAGGGTACAGAACAGCTTTCATATGAGGAGAGATTTAAAAAACTGGGACTGTTCATCTTAGAAAAGAGATGACTAAGGGTCGATTTGATATAGGTCTCTCAAATCATGAATGGTGTGGAGAAAGTGAACAGGAAGTGTTATTTATCCTTTCACTTAACACAAGAACCAGGGGTCACCCAATAACAAACATAAAGAAGTACTTCTTCACACAGTGCACAGCCAACCTGTGGAATTCGTTGCTGGGAATGCTGTGAAGGCCAAAAGTATAACTGGATATAACTGAATTAGATAAGTTCATGGAGGATAAGTCTATCAATGTCAAGTAGCCAAGTGTACAGGGATTCAACCCCATGCTCTGGGTGTCCTTAAACCTTTAACTGCCAGAATCTGGGACTGGATGACAGGTAGTAGATCACTTGATAAATTTCCCTATTCTGTTCAAAACATCTGGCACTGGCCCTTGTCGGAAGACAGGACACTAGGCTATATGGACAACTGATCTGACTGGGCATTCTTATGTTAAATTTCCCGGTTATACATTGGAGGAGAAGTGCTACTAATAATGGTAGGGCCCAGATATTCCTGGATGTGACATCGGACAGATTTCTTCACTAAACAGTCACCGAACCAACAAGAAGTGATGCCATTTTAGATTTAGTGTTGATAAGTAGAAAGGACCTCATAGAAGAACTGGCTGTAGAGGACAGCCTTGGTTTGAGTGATCAGGAGTTAATTCAGTTTAAACTAAATGCAAGGATAAACAAAATTAGGTCTGCAACTAGGGCCCCCGATTTCAAAAGGGCAAACTTGAAAAAAATTGAGAAAATCAGTTAGGGAAGTCAACTGAAGAACTCAAGGATCTGAATGTGGAGGAGGCTTGGAATTACTTTAAGTCAAAGTTGCATAAACTATCTGAAGCCTGCATCCCGAGCAAGAAGAAAAATTCATATGGAAGGTTGCAGACCAAACTGGATGAACAAGCACCTCAAATAGGTTATTAAGAGAAAGCAGAAAGTCTACAAGGAATGGAAGATGGGAGGGGTCAGTGAGGAAAACTAACTCACATAGATCAGAAAGTATAGAAGAAAAGTTAGAACTGCTAAAAGCCAGGCAGAGTTGGACCTTGCAAAGGAAATTAAAGCCAATGTTAAAAAGTTCTTTAGCCATATAAATAAAAAGAAAACAAGGAAAGAAGTGGGACCTCTAAGAACTGATGATGGGGATTAAATGAATATATAAATAAATACTTTGCCTCAGTTTTTAATAAGAGTAATGAGGAGCCTGGGGACTCTACGATGAGATTGCCTACTCCATAAATTTAGCAAGCTCAGTTTTGAAACTATGGAACATAGCCCATCCATAACTGCTATTAGCAAATATCTCCAATGGCCAATGATGGGACACTAGATGGGGAAGGCTCTGAGTTACTACAGAGTATTCTTTCCCAGGTGTCTGGCTGGTGGGTCTCGCCACTTGCTCAGGGTCTAACCCCTGCCCTATTTGGGATCAAGAAGGAATTTTCCCCCAGGTCACACTGGCAGAGGCCCTGCAGTTTTTTTTGCCTTCCTCTTCAGCATTGGGACATGGGTCACTTGCTGATCTGAAGTAGAATAAATGGTGGATTATTAAAATCAAGATTTGAGGATTTCAGTAATTCAGCCAGATTATGGGCAAATTACAGGAGTGGGCGGGTGAAGTTCTGTGGTGAAGGAGGTCAGACTAGATGGTCATGGTGGCCCCTTCTGACCTTAAAGTCTATGAGAGCTTTAAGCACCAGGTCAATTCGACTTGCTCTAATCAGAATTACATGGCACAATGCAAGCTGTCATCAATAGCTGGCAGCTGCTACGAACCCTGGTGGATATGAATCTGTACTAGCAACAGTGGCCAAAAATAATACGACCTTGGATTGCATCTTCTCTGGGGAACCTTCCTGCGGTTACGGGGAAGACAGAGTGCATCCACTTGATTCATCTCACGACCTGCCAACTCCTCCCTCCAGTCCACCACTCCTTCCACTTGCATGGACACTGGACTCCAAATGAAAGTCTTCTGCATAGTTTGTAGGATGGATAGTGTTATGGATACAGCGGAGTTTCCCTCACATTGGTAAGTGTAGAGGTCCACATGTGGTCCTCTCTAGGAGATATGTGCAGCATGGTCTGGCTCTATTTAGTCTTTGTGAAATAGTCTTGCAGCTCTTCTTCCTTACATAATCTTAACTCACTTGTCCCTACTAAAATCTGCTCAAAGGAAAGGCCTGGAATGTCTGCGTCTATCTTGCACCAGTACAACATGAATGATTGTTATTACACATATAAGTGTCAGACATTTGCAGGGCACTTTACAAAGACACAATCTCAGCTCTGCAGGCTCATACTCTACAAACATGCATGTATACAGATATAAGTGTTGGGTACCTTTATAATTCCTTGGCATGTTGCAAGAGGAAGACCAACTAAACTGGTTCCATTAATAGACATAATCTGGTCTCCAATGCTTAGTTTCCCTGAACGAGCTGCAGGGCCTCCATTCATCATGTTAGCCAGGATAACTGTGGGTAGGATGGATCCCCATCCTGATTCCACAATCACAACCCCGAGAATTTCTCCCTTCTGCTTTTCTAGCTGCAACTGCAATGAAAATATATACAAATCACTGTTTTTGTGTTAATTACATTTCCTCTGAATTTCAAACACTACTATTTCAGTGGTTAATTAATTAAAATTAACCATTTACAAAGAAAACTAAATCAATCACTTTCCTATTAACCACGAGAAGTTACTTCAAAAGAGAGAGTCAATTTAATTTTTTTTTCAAGTGAGTACCTGTCACATATTCCAGTTTCTAGCACCAGTTAAATAGGATGCTCTGATTCTTTTCTAATTCCTTTAAAATAATTTTTATAGAGGATCTTCTGCTCACCTGTTGTAATTCAGACAGGCCTTTATAACAAGGGAGAAACTAAAAACCTACTGACTCTACAGGGGAAACAGTGGAACTGACTAAACATAATGTGCTTCATTAAATAAACAGAAATAATTTTCCTCACTGGAATACAGCTTTCAGGGGAGATCTTAAGAATTGCTGCTAAGGCACTGGAATTTAAGAGTTCTAGGTTCAATTTCCAGCTCTGTCACAGACTTCAAGTGTGACCTTCTCCAATTCACTTAATTTCTCTGTGCATCTTACCTGTTTGTACAGCACCTAGCACAATGGGCCCTAATCTCTGTTAGCCCCTCAAGGTTCTACTGTAATACAAATGTCATTATTTTTTCTCAGATATAGTAATCTTGGGGGTTACCTGTGATTACAGGATGTATAATGTTTCTAACCAGAAGTGTGATTTTTAAGTTGAAAGTCTTCTTTAATAAAATACTGGATAAGAACATTTCCCCAAACAAATAATGCGGTGACTGCGCTACATGTACTATGCAAAGCCTATTTAGCACTGAAGGCTCAGTTACATCACTACAGTCAGGTCAGTCTTCTAAATTAAGAAGAGACACAGAAGGGGATTTCTTGTGTGTAAAAACCAGGAAGGCTCGCTGGGTACTGCAGAGGTTATCCCTGGATTGATTGAAATCCAGCCAGAGTGCAACAGCTTCAGCATGATCAGACAATCCATCATTACTCGTAAACATGCTCAGTTAGGAGAACTGGGAACCAAGGAGCAATGGGCAGCAGGAAGGGAGGCCACTATTCATTACTCTGAAGCAAGCTTAAGCTCAGAGAAGTGATTATAAAACTGGCATCTTGGAGTTACACATATTTTTTATCTAATCAGTTACGATTACAAGTAAAAACAAGATTTTCTAATTAAGTTTGTTTTCCCTTGTGTGACCAATTTGAAATATTTTCCAGATGTTACATGTACATAAACAATACCTTGTCAAGTCCAACAACTGTACCCATATAAACCACACATCCATTTCTTTACCGTTTCTATTTGTAATGCTATAAATTACAATTTACGTATACCGGGACTGGTTTTCAGTTGAATATGGATTTTCACCTTCACTTCCAGTCACCATGATTCACCCAGAAATGACTGCATTTCCTATGTATAGGTCCAAAATCTGCATCCCTTATTTAGGCAAAACCCCCAGTAAAATCATGTGACCTGTCTCTTGGAAATAACATTTAGCATGTAGCGCTTTCCATCTTCAAAGTGCTTTCTAAACCTCAATTAATGAATCCTCCCAATACCCCTGTGAGGCAGGGAAGTGCTACTACACCTATTATTTCACAGATGAGGAAACTGTGACAGAAAGATTAAGTGATTTGCCCAGGGTCACAAAATGAGACCATTTTACAATGCAGAAGTTGTGCTTTTTGCACTCAGACCATTAGAACACAGGCCAAATATTCATCACACTGAAACCAAGGAGAGTTTTGTCATTACTTCAGTGGGCACAGGATTTGGCCCCATGTGCCTCATTCTGTTTTTGAGGTGCTTAGAGACCTTCCTGGATGAAAGGTCATATTTCAAAGGTAAAATATGAAATGTACACCATTATTATCAGTGTAAGTCATGCTGACATGCCATGCTAAACCTGGTATTGACTTAAGGGAAGTTGTCTCCACTTCATATATTACCAACAATGAAGATTCTGCAATGAGGTTTCAGATGTTAATTTTGCTGCTGTTATTTGTGTAGGGTGGGGAGGAGGCGGGGGGAAAGAAACCAGGCTGATCAATGCCAGCTCTACTGGACCCACTTCATTGGTAGTAGTACAACTTGTCAGACAGAGAGGGAGAAGATGCATCTTTAAAAGTGCTATTTTTATTTTACGTAGTCACCTTTCCGAGCAGAAGTCCCCTTTACCTTTGATAGTCAGTAAAAGCAGCAAAGAGTCCTGTGGCACCTTATAGACTAACAGATGTATTAGAGCATAAACTTTCGTGGGTGAATACCCGCTTCGTCGGATGCATGTAGTGGAAATTTCCAGAGGCAGATATAAATATGCAAGCAAGAATCAGGCTAGGGATAACGAGATTAGTTCAATCAGGGAGGATGAGGCCCGCTTCTAGCAGTTGAGATGTGAACACCAAGGGAGGAGAAACTGCTTTTGTAGCTGGCGAGCCAGTCACAGTCTTTGTTTAATCCTGAGCTGATGGTGTCACATTTGCAAATGAACTGAAGCGCCGCAGTTTCTCTTTGAAGTCTGGTCCTGAAGTTTTTTTGCTGCAGGATGGCTACCTTTAAATCTGCTTTTTTGTGTCCAGGGAGGTTGAAGTGTTCCCTACAGGTTTTTGTATATTGCCATTCCTAATATCTGATTTGTGTCCATTTATCCTTTTACGTAGGGACTGTCCAGTTTGACCAATGTACATAGCAGAGGGGCATTGCTGGCACATGATGGCGTATATTACATTGGTGGACGTGCAGGTGAATGAACCAGTGATGGTGTGGCTGATCTGGTTAGGTCCTGTGATGGTGTCACTGGTGTAGATATGTGGGCAGAGTTGGCATCGAGGTTTGTTGCATGGATTGGTTCCTGAGTTAGAGTTACTATGGTGGGGTGTGTAGTTGCTGGTGAGAATATGCTTCCGGTTGGCGGGTTGTCTGTGGGCGAGGACTGGCCTGCCTCCCAAGTCCTGTGAAAGTGAGGGATCGTTGTCCAGGATGGGTTGTAGATCAGTGATGATGCATTGGAGAGGTTTTAGCTGAGGACTGTATGTGATGGCCAGTGGAGTTCTGCTGGTTTCTTTCTTGGGCTTGTCTTGCAGCAGGAGGCTTCTGGGTACACATCTGGCTCTGGTGATCTGTTTCCTTATTTCCTCATGTGGGTATCATAGTTTTGAGAATGCTTGGTGAAGATCTTGTAGGTGCTGGTCTCTGTCTGAGGGATTGGAGCAAATGCGGTTGTACCTCAGCGTTTGGCTGTAGACAATGGATCATGTGGTGTGTCCAGGGTGGCTAGAAGAGGGCCTCATCCTCCCTGATTGAACTAACCTCGTTATCCCTAGCCTGATTCTTGCTTGCATATTTATACCTGCCTCTGAAAATTTCCACTACATGCATCCGATGAAGTGGGTATTCACCCACGAAAGCTCATGCTCCAATACGTCTGTTAGTCTATAAGGTGCCACAGGAATCTTCGCTGCTTTTACAGATCCAGACTAACACGGCTACCCCTCTGAAGTCTGATAGTCAGGAGTGTGTTGAGTATAAGATGAATGGGATTTGAAAGAGCTATGATAATAACAGAAGCATAAGAGCCAGCCATGCTTGTCCCATGCAGAGCCAGAACTCCATAGAACCCTTCTTTCATGGACTAAAATCAATGCTATATTAGGGACAGTCTATGGTATTCAACCACCAAGCAGTACTGGTGATGGACAGAAGCCTCCTAAGCCCTGGAAGAGTTTTGCAATCTCTTCAGGAGACAAAATCCCTTCTCTCCCCTAGCAACTTCCCCATGTGCAGTGGGAGTGCACACATTGCACCTACCCTTTGCCATGATCCCACTTGCTCCTCAGGGAGATAGTATCGTGGGGGTGCCAAAGAGCAGTACCTATTATCCCCAAGCACACAGACTGTAATGGTCCCTATCCCTGCATGGGGAGCAGTGAGATGGCAGACAGCTCACTGTTCCACCCATTGCCCTCAAACACCCACAAAACCTAAGAACAATCTGGCCTTTAAGGTCATATTATCTACGTTTGGATCCTGTCCCGTGATTTTTATCTAACTTGATTAAAAACCATTATTTCTATGTCAGATGAATGCTCCTCCACCCATGGCTTTGCAGGTAATATTTTGGAAGCAGGCCTCTCTTCTATATGCACCTCCAACATTTAAATTAACCAGATATGATTTTATTCTAGAATGGGAATTAAAACACACAGTCTTAATACAGAAAATACACCAAAGATATCTTACTGAGATCAGAAATGTCAGCTCATTTACAGAGACGCTTAGTGCCAAACCGCAGATATAAAATCTATTAAAATGTGAATTTTCAAGGTCATTAAAACCTGACTACCAACTCCCCTATTATATCAACACCTCATTATAACACGCAAGTAACTGACACCTGAAGCATGGTGTAAAGGTATTACTGTTTCCCATTTATATGAAATGTAAATGTAATTATTATTATTATGATGGAAGCAGAAGGGCCTTGAAAGTAAAATGGGTAGGAAAAATATAAAGCTACTAAGGTTGAATACTAATAAAATCATTTATTTCCCATGCAAATGTACTCTTAAAATGCCAATTGAGTGCTCAGAGTGTACATCAATATTAAAAATAAGAAAACAGGATTAACAACATGAAATAAAAATTAAAAAAAAGAATTTACCTCCTTGCAGTTCTCTGAATTGGAGAAGTGTATAAGATCATCATTATACATTTCCTGGGTATTGATTATGTCACTATATTCTTTCTGACTGAGATCCTCTGGATTAATTCCATTGGCTCTCAGAAACTCCTGGTAGGCCACGCTGAAAGCCTGACCAATTGACTGAGCTATCAGCTGTGCCTGTAGAATAAAATAAGATACAGCTGAAAAGGAGGAACACCACTCAGTAGCAATGAATAGAGCTAGCTCGCTTATAAGATTCACCCAAAATAATACAGAATGCAACGATAACATAAATCTCTCTTTGGGAAACTCAATCGGGCAAACTCTTCACCTCTTGATACTTCTGGTCACCCCATCTAAAAAAAGGCATCTTAGAACTGGAAAAGGTACAGAGAAGGGCAACAAAAACGATTAAGGGTATGGAAGAGCTTCCGTATGACGACAGATTAAGAAAACTGGGACTTTTCAGCTTGGAAAAGAGATGACTAAGGGAATATGATGGAGGTAAAAAATCATGACTCGTGTGGAGAAAATGAATAAGCAAGTGCTTTTTACTCCTTCAGATAACACAAGAACTAGGGCTCACCCAATGAAATTAATAGGCAGCAGGTTTAAAACAAACAAAAGAAAGTACTTCTTCACACAAGGTACAGTCAACCTGTAGAATTCATTGCCAGTGGATGCTGTGAATGCCAAAAATATAACAAAGTTCAAAAAAGAATTAAATTAATGGAGAATAGATCCATCAATAGCTATTACCTAAGATGGTCAGGGATGCAACTCCCGGTTCTGGCTGTTCCTAGCCTCTGACTGCCAGAAGCTGGGAGTGGATGACAGGGATTGGATCACATGATGATTGCCTCCTCTGTTCATTACCTCTGAAGTATCTGGCATTGGCCACTGTCAGAAGACAGGATACTGGCCTAGATGGACCATTGGTCTGACTCACTATGGCCATTCTTATGACCTCCTTTCACCAAGAAGCTGCAGTGGCTAGTAATATGCTGCTTATGCATCTGTTTCTATAAGCACTGAAGAAATATATTCTAGATCAGGAGTTCTCAGACTTTTTCACAGCGTGGACTATACCTTAGGAGAGAGATTGTCACCTGGTCTGGACACTCAGTACTTTCTGACCACAAGTGCAGTCCTCTGTGCAGCAGAGAGGAGGGTCTGTGCTTGCATGTGTGACCAGAATAGAGTTTCCCTGTTTGTGATTATTAAGCCCACCCTCACAAATGGATGCATGATTAGTTTGGCCTGCTCCATCATCAGAATCTTCAATACTCCTGGATATTATACCACTGCATGTGCCACTTCTGCAAATCCATCAGCTCTCACTTTGCGGCCATTGTACCTGTCCCATAGCTTCAGCAAATCCTGTCTCCTCGTCCCCTACCCACTTGCTGATTGCCTTATTTAACCCAGAGCAGTGCCTGAACTGCCTGCCCGCATCAGCAATGTTTAATAATGTGTCTGTGCTTTCTTGCATTGTATGGTTTTGTGACAGTGAATCCTTTTATGATCATGGTGCACACTGGCCAAACACTGCTGGGCATATCCTAGCCACATGATTGTTAAGTCATTCTCCAAGTCTCTGGTGTGTTTCTGGAGACCTCCTCTGACTATGGAGTCTCTGCAATATGAGATGACTACCCATCAAAGTTAACTGTAAGAGAGTTGAATTGCACTGACTAATGTCTGGAAGCCTAGGGCAATAGACACATTAGAAACGAAAAGACAGATAATAATTAATAATACTTAGCACTTTACACATTCAAGGCACTGTACAAATGTTAAATAATTAACTGAGACAGAATCATAGACCTTTGTAGCAGACTTTGCTTTTTAGTTCCACTAGATGTCACTGCAGCAGTGAGAGACAGAGGTAGGAAAAAGCAGGAGGTATTTATGTGCAACATTAGTTTTCTTAACTGAAATTTTTATTTCTCCCATATTGATCCACTGCAGATCACAAGAGAATGATAGGTTAGATTTGGTAGGTCAACATGGTTTCCAGGAGCCCTATTCTTCTTCCACCACAGGATATGAACAACTCCTACTGACTTAAATAGGAGTTGCTTGTATCCTGCAGTGTAGAGTCCCTCAAAATACTAGCAATCAGCTACAAATCACATATCATATATGAGGAAGCAGTGTATTCAGTCCAACCACCTGAGTTTTGAAGGTGTTTTTGTTCTGAAAATGCAGTGGTCTTTGTCAGAGAACTGGCACAACCTAAATACAGTAAGGGATACCCACACTATCTCTACACATGGTAGGCAATGTTATAACATCTATAACTCTTTATTCCCAAAATAGGATGTTAAATGGTTTATTTCAAGTATTCAACAGAGGTAACATTCTTGTTTAATTTGTGCTTTACAATAACATGTTGCAATAAACTCCATTGTTTAAAGACAGACAGAGGTCAATATTCTACCATTTGAAAACAGATTTAGAAAATTCTGAGAAATGATTGGCTAAACTAGTCATGTGACATTACTGTATATTCTGGAATTTCTTTTCAACGAGGTGACCCGTCACACTATGAACAACAATACAAATAAATATGCCCAAGACATGTGAATGTCAACCATTGAGAAGTAATCAATAAAGATTTTTATAACCCATCTTATCATGGTTTGTCATCTGTGTCCCCTTCCCGCTACTTAATCTGTCTCCATTGGTATCAGTTTTTGGTGTTCAGTCCATTTCTCTCCCCTCTGCTTTTCAAGTTCACCAACAGATCGGAAAGAGATGCAAGCCAGATGCAGGCTTAGAATCAATTATTGTTTTTAATGATACCTTGTTCTCATTTAGTGCTTTACATCAGTACATCTCAAAGAGCTTTACAAAGGAGGTAAGTATCATTATTCCTATTTTACAGATGGGGAAATGGAGGCACAAGAAGGCAAAGCGACTTTGCCAAGGTCACCCAGCAGGCAGCGGCAGAGCTGGGAACAGAATACAGATCTCATGAGGCCCAGTCAGCTATTCTATCTACCAGGCAACACTGCCTCCCAATTCAAATATTAAACTGAAAGATTTTCTGCCTCGCAAAATATGTGATCTGGAGCTAAAATTGTATCAGACAATGGGCTAGTTTTATTTTGAAAACAACATGTTAAGAAACAGATTTTAAAACTGCCCATTAAACTGGTGGATTTAAATGAACACTTCCCTAGTGGCATTAGTACTTCAAAATATCTTTATAAGTTAGAAACAAAAATTAATACTTTTCCTGCTTTTAATTTTTACTAACTTGACACTTTTTCCTTTAACTTTTCTTTAAAAAAAAACAAAAAAACAAAAATCCACACTTCCCCAGAGGTGAGAGTGTCTCCCCAAGTCCATTCATTCTTTAGCCTTTCTACGATGAGTGCAAATGGCCAGAATTGTGATGTGGTCACTTCCTTTCCTTTTAAATAGTAAAATGCAGAGCTGGAAAGGATCTCGAAAAGCCATCAAGTCCATCCCCCTACACTGTGACAGGATCAATTAAACCAAAACCATCCCTGATAGTGTTTGACCAACTTGTTCTTACAAACCTCCAATGATGAGGATTCCACACACCCCTTGGAAGCCTATTCCAGAGCTTAACTACCCTTATAGTTAGTTTTCTTAATATCTAATCTAAATCTCCTTTGCTGCAAATTAAGCCACTTAATTCTTGTCCTACCTTCAGTGGACATGGAGATCTATTGATTCCTGTCCTCTTTATAACAGCACTTAATATATTTGAAGACTTAACAGGTTTCCCCTTGGTCTCCTTTTCTCAAGACTAAACATGCCCAGTTTTTTTTAAACCTTTCCTAATAGGTCAAATTTTCTAAACCTTTTATGATTTTTGTTGCTCTCCTCTGGACTCTCTCCAGTTGTGACCAGAATTGGACACACTACTCCAACAGAAGCCTCACCAGGGCCAAGCAGAGTGGGACAATTACCTCCTGTGACTTACTCCTATTAATATACTCTGGAATATTAGCCTTTTTCACAGCTGCATCACATTGTTGACTCATTCAATTTGTGATCCACTATAACCCACAGATCCTTTTAGCAATACTACCACCTAGACAGTTATTCCTCATTTTGTAGTTGTGCATTTGATTTTTCTTTCCCAAATGAAGTGTGTTGCCCTTATCTTTACTGAATTTCATTTTGCTGATTTCAGACCAATTCCCCAATTTGTCACAGTTGTTTTAAATTCTAATTCTGTACTCCAAAGTTCTTGCAACCCCTCCCAGCTTGGTGTCATCTGCAAATTTTATATGCATACTCTCCATTATCCAAATCATTAATGAAAATATTGAATACTATTGGATCCAGGGCTGACCTATGGGACCCCACTAGATACACACTCCCAGTTTGACAGTGAACCATTGATAACTACTCTGAGTATAGTCTTTCAATTAATTGTGCATCCACCAAGACCAATTTCCCTAGTATGCTTATGAGAATAGCATGTGGGACTGTATCAAAAGTCTTACTAAATCAAGATATATAACATCTACTGCTTCCCCCCATTCACTAGGCCAGTAACCCTGTCAAAGAAGGCAATTAAATTGGTTTAACATGATTTTTGTTTGACAAATCCATGCTGGCTATTCCTTATAACCCTATCATCCTCCAGATGCTTACAAAATTTCCTTTGAATCATGAAATCTATCATTTCATGATCACTTTCACCCAAATTGTCTTCCACCTTCAGATTCACTACCAATTCCTCCCTGTTGACCAGAATCAACTCTAAAATGGCTGCCATCTTGGCTACTTTCTGCACAAAAAGTTGTCCCAAATACATTCCAAGAACTTACTGGAAATTTTGTGTTTTTCTGTATTACTTTTCCAACAGATGTCTGGGTAGTAAAAGTCCCCCGTTGTACTGGTCTTGCGTTTTGGGTATTTTTGTTGTTCTAGAAATGCCTCATTCGCCTCCTCTTCCTGATTTGTTGATCTACAGTAGACTACTACCAGGATACCCCTTTTATCATTAACCAGTGACTCCCACCTCCTTCTGGACTTCAGAGCAAGGGTATATATTCTTGATCATTTCTTTTGCCCTGCCTGTCCTTCCTGAACAAAGCTGTAGTCTATACCAATATTGCAATTTGGAACAGAACAGTAATAACTATTATAAAAGTTAGCCTGTAAACCTTTGAAAGGATCAGCCAATCAGAAAAGAAATTCCTGGCAACAAAAATGCATTCATGCGATAGATACCATTAGATTTCTGAGGTCCCCTAAATGACATACTGTATTAAAAAAATAATTTAAGTTTACTTACATCCTCAGATTCAAAGACATGACATATCATTTTGTACTGTTTCTTTCCTTCTTGGGCACCAGGTGTCGTCTCTATACAGTCTTGAGAAGCAGACCTTGGCATCCGGCGTCTTGCCATTAAAACAACAATGTTACCAATATCAGCAATGTATGAGATTGTGCGCAGTGCATGATCCATCATAGTTTCCTTCACAAAGCAAAAGATAAACAAAAATGTTCCACATGCACAGTATTACTCCAGAAATATAACTTTTTCCCTCTCCCATATTGTCTAATTTCTTGAGTGTGACAACAGGCAGCTAAGCTTGCATCTCTTTGTGCAGTCAATATGGGGCCAGATCCTGCAGCCTTTATTCAGCCAATTTCTCAAACAAAACTGTTACTGAAGTCATAGCCAGAGTTACTGAAAACCCCTGGGCTTCAATGGAAATTTTGTCTGAATAACAACTGCAGATATTTGGCACACAGGCCTATTACAAAAACTTTAAAAGCATCAGGCCTCAAGTAAAAGGAAAATATGTTCCAATATTTTAGAAACCATTTCATCATGTTTGAAAATACATGGCTTTTGCAAACAATTAAACTCCAAAATAAAGCAGTGACAGAAGCTGTTTATAACAAGATCATGAACATTACTGCTATGCCAGGACAAGATAAAGAAGGATTCAATAAACCATCATGTAACATTTTCCAAAATACGAAGTTATCATTTTCTTTCCTCACAATGGATTGTAAATGTTGTGTTGCCTTCTCCTCATTATGAGGGGCAAATTTTAACATAGATATTCTTACTCCTTCCTCCTCACCATGTAAGTCACACCAGCGAGGACATAGATATCTGAAAGGGAGGCCAGCCTAGAGTCTGGATTCAGAAAGGTACTCAATGCACCTGTAGTCCACTGAAGTCAATGGCACTATTTGCGTGCTTAAAGTGAGGCACATGCTTTAGTACCTTTGGTAAATTGGGTCCTAGTCTGAGCTCATATCACGTCTTAATTTGACCCATTATGGATGTCTGTTGACAAATGTTGGTTTCCATTTGCAGTATCTATACAGGAGTACTGAAGTTCAGCCACCTGTAAGATGTTGGGGGTAGGCAGGTGGATAACTGGTACACAGTATGTTGCAAAATAGGGGAGACGGGAAAGCTCTGGGCAAATTCTCCTCTCAGCAACACCAGCATAATCAAAGCTAATAAGCCTTCACCAGCATAACTAGTCAAAATCTTCCTCAGCCAAGTCAAATTAGGGTTGTCAGGCTGCCAACTCAGTTACACTAGACAAGTTTTGACCCCTGGATTTAGCTGAGAAAAGCCTTTTGCTCCTTGATTTTAGGAAACAATGGAAACCTGCCCAAATGATGGCCTGAGAAAGGTATCTTATGTAAGAGCGTGCTATTGCTCCAAAACGTGAAAAAATAACTTTGGAGCAGTTTTTAAACACTTTTCAAAAATGTCTACCTCTATCTCACATCTTTCAGTACTGCATCCTCTTGATGGATTACTTCTGCCTTTTAATTTATTTCTCTTTTCAAACTTTGTGGACAAGGAAATCTCAGCTTACCATCTCCAGATGCTTTCTCCCAGGAATGTATCATTATGGAACTAATAAGTTATCCTTGGGCAAACGTGAAGTCAGCGAATGTTTGCAGTCAGGGAAGAATTCTTTTTGTCACCGAGCTTGCTTTATCCCGGATATTACTATGTATTTGTCTTTTGCAATGATCTAAAACTTTGTATTATTGATTTCTAGTTCATACTTCTGTCATTTGTTTGTTCAATCAAAAAGCATTGATCTCGTAGAGGAAGAGCCTTCAAGGTCATTTTTAATCATGGCTCCTTTGCTCCACTGGGTATAAACTTGAAGTTTTATTATTCGTGAACTTGCACTGAATAAGAATAAATGAATGTGGCCCACCAGCTACCTTGTAAGACTCCTCATTTATGAGGTGTGCTGCAGCTAAACAATGCTATTACAGTTCTGAAAGAACTTTAAACATTTAGAATTGTAAAGCCAAATAGTTTTTTGTGCTGATATTCTAGGTAATTGTAAATTTATACAGGTTTTAAGCAGCACTCTTGAAATATTTGATTGTTATTTGGCTTGAAGAGGTAAAAAATCCATCAAATCTTCTGCTTGAACTGGAATACAAACACTTGTTCTTGAATCAGTGCTTTCTGGATCTTCCCCGTGCTGCATGTATTTAGTCTGAAATCAATATATTGTTTTATTGTTTCCCTTTTAAACATTTTGGGCCCTTGTCCAGGAGAGAGGGGGCCTCTGCAGCTTGTGGCCCATGTAAGGTCTACAGCTATCATTCCTGGCTCTGCAGCTGTGGGGTGCTGCTTCCTGTTCCCAAGAGGGTACTTTTCCACTGGCTGTGGTCATGCAGTGTGACATTACATATGTGATGTCAGATTTCATCCAGCCCAATTGAGATATGTAGCAATTGGGCTAATGAGAGCGAAGTGATGGAACAGAGCAGATTGTTGTGAACGGAAACAGCCAAATAACTTTTTCCACCCTACTGCAGTCTGACTTGTCATGTAAAAACATTAACAAACAAATACCCAATGGGTCAGTGCTGACTGAGTGAGGCTATGGAGTCGACCATCTTGAGGGGGCTCCTGTGATTTAGCTTTCCTTCCTGGCCCCTCCTCAGCAACCTAATGCACACAACACATTGGGGCCCTGCCTTGGCCTTGTTCAGCAGGTTGACCTGCATCCTGACCTTCTGCAGAGCCACTACATATGGCTTTCTGGGACCTGTGTGACTCAGAAGCGCATGGAAAACTGTTATAATCAAAAGAGATATTTCAGAGTGGACCCAGACATCAGGAACTCCAGTGCAAAATGTAAAGCCTGCTTTTGTCCTTGCTTTCCCCAAACAGCACCACAATAATAGCACCAGTCCCTTCTGGCTGCAGGAAGCAGAAAGAGATGTTCTTGCATACACTTCAGAATTCTGCAAGGTTTTTACCACCCAGCATGTCAGGGGCCATATTAGAACTTAGATTGATGGATGTTGGATTCACCTAAATCAGAGCTGGGAGCAACAACTGGCCCAGTCAACAATGTTGATGCCCATAGTAAGACACTGCAAAAATCTCAGTTTCTGTTAAAAATATGTTTCCAGTCTTCATGGTTATGGAGAGAATTCTGAGACGTGAAACTCAGTATTCTCTTTTTGAGTCTGCAGGTAGCTTGTCCCTGTGAGGTGTGAACACACCTAGTCTCCATGACTCTCAGTGGGATGTAAACTCAAGGCCAATTATGATACTTTGTATGTCATCTATTATACCATTGCTGACCATTTTTTCAAATGGGGTGGGAGTGAAGTCCAGGGGGTCAAATTGGGAGATACTGCAGGGAAGGAAATGCAGAGGGAAAAAAGGAAGAGACATACAAAAACAGGTGAAACAGAGAAACAGAGAAAGGTGGATAAGTGGGGAAGAAATGAAAGGGTGGAAATAGCAGTGGTCCTACAAGTGAGATTGTTTTCCACTACGTGATGCTGAATGTGACAAATAACTAAAAAAGTTTAGTGACTACATAAAAGCCATATTCTGCCCCTGACCTTTGTGTAATTGTCCCAGTGACAGCAGTGGGAACTCTGCTGTGGATTGAAGGTCATATATAGTGGGAAATGTATGTCCTGGACCACAGCCCATAACTTAAGAAATGCAATTTGATCCACTTCAGAGAATGATTTGACCCTTCCACCCCTTCTCTAACTATTCATTAGCTAATTCTTCTCCTCACAGAGGTAAGGAGCCACATATCTGGGTATTCATCTATCAAATTACAATGCTTCTCTCCCAGGCCAGAGAATAGAAGAGTTTTTCAGGTCAGGAAGAATAATTGTTTTAAGAACCATAATACAATATAACTTGACAGAGCTAAAAAAATACCAACACTGACAGCTTATTGGAACAACTTGGTCTATTGATTAGAAAAATCTCTTTTTTCCACACACTATTCTTAAAATGCTTTTAACAATTCTTTTCAGTCTGAAATAAAACATTGTGTGTTTATCCCTAAATTGTGATAGATGAAATGTGATGATGGCCACAGAAGGGCTTGGGGATTTCTGTGAGAATTTGCAGGGTCCTGCAGCATCTATAAGTGGAGGGGAAAATGTATTATAATGGACATCTCCCAGCAGACGACGGGAACTCTGTAGGGAGAGTTGTTTTTCAGGAGACTGTTCCAAGTATCCGAATAATAAACACAAGGTTCACAAGAAAGAACTGAGGTGGAGAAATAAATACATCTATGCATTTAGAGTTTCTGTCCCCCATGTCCACCACTCACGAGCAGCTCAAAGATTTTTGCCCTGCCAATCCTAAAAGTAGATTCTCTCCTGCTTCCCCCCACACCTTTCCATTGTTTAATACAATTAAATGTGGGACTAAGAATATGCCAAATAAAATGTATTAACCGCACTTGTCCACCTTTCTTTCTCTTCCTCCACATTCTCTCTCTTTTTTTCTCTCTACATCATTGCTCTTTTCTCTGCTCTCAGTATCCTCCCCCTTTGCATTACTTTTCCCCTTCTCTCGTTTTTCTCCCCACCTCCCTATCCTTAAATCCCCCATTTGTCTTCTCTCCCCTAATCCCTCCATCTCTTCCTATCTGGCTCTTTAATCTTTCCCTCTTCCCTATCCAAGGTCTCCCTATCCCAAACCTCTCACCCATATCTCTGTCCTTGGAAAACCAAATATTTCCCCCCCTCCCCAGACTTGTTTCTCCTTCTCCAAAATAGCCATCCAGGTTCCCCTTCATCCAAATCTCCTTGCCTCTATATGTATTGCTCTCCTAGAAGTCCCTGTTGTTACCCCTCATGGTTTTGTTTCCCATATCCTGGTTCCCTGATTTCTTCATTTTCCCTTTCATATGTTCCCTTTTTCCTTCTCCTTTGGTGGCTCCCTCCTCTCCCCTTTTTACCAGGGAAAAAGGGCTGTGGCTACTCTGAGGGTCAGTTGATGAAATCTGAAGAAGATCTCAAAGAAGGGGTGGGGGCGGAGGCGGGGGCAGGGGCAGATGGGCTGCATGTTCTCCCACAGCTCTCCTGGTGGCTGATGGCTGCCTTTACCCGTTCAGCTCCTGTGGCTGCACTGTGGGAGCATGAGTCAGACAACTCAGAGGCCCTCATAGGACCAGTCCCTAGGGTGGTCACTGATTCAGAATACCAGACACTTCGGTACTTCTGGAACTGCGTGGACCAGCCCCCGTCTGCGTGACCCCATGCGCATGGTGTGTGTGAGGTCACGTCAGTGGGGGCAGAGCAGAGCACTCTGCAAAATGGTAACCCATTGAACATCAGCTTTACCAGTGACTGGGTTGTGGAGTCAGGGCATGTAGACTTGTCAGCCTTGCCTCTCCTACACTGTGGAAAAGCTTCACTATCCCAGCTTTTCCACAGTGTGAGTGTGAGAAGCAGGAGACAGTTGCTGTGGCACTTGTGCCAATTTCACTCCCTGATTGCAAGCCCAGCGCACAGAGCAGAGCAGCTAGGGGAAGCTCTGCTCAGATCGGAAGTATGGCATGCTGTCAAAAGCAGGGTTATTTCTAACATGTGAACTGAACAGGTGGTCACACAGGGCTGAAAATATCACGTGAGTGACTCCAGCCTGGTAGTGGCAACCATTTGCTAGTTTGGCCTACGGCAACAAACCCACTAGAGCTATGGGTCCAAGGTGATAATATGCCTTACTGCCACTACTGACCCAGTTCAAACCCCAACATAAATCAAGTTAGATATCTACTTTTTTTAGTGAAATCAGAATTCTTTTAAACCAGTTAGTACCACCAGATGCTTCCATGCATGACATACAATAAAGTTACATAAGGGTTAGAACACTGAATTAATGATAGCAGAAGTGGTTTTATATAATTGACAGATATAAAACTGCAGACTGCCTGTGCCAGCTGCTACACCAGTAGATATAGAGCCACAGTAATGAAGTTAGTCAATAAATCTCTCTAGCACTGGTAAAAACACAGTCAAGCTAAAAATGCAAACACTCATCAACAGTGAGTACTAAAAGACAGGGGAAGCAAAGCCTCCAGCTACTCTGAGACCTGCTGTACACAGAAAAATCAGCCACATTCAAAATAAGCTTTAGTAAAACCCTTTAACATAATCAATTCCAATATCAGATTTTTATTTCTGTTCAATATACAGGGCCAGACTCTGGTACCCTCACTCACAGTGAATAGCTCTTGTGGAATAAGGTAATACTCACCTTGAGTAAGGGTATCAGACTCTGCCTCAGGGTGCTTTTGCTTTTCCTTGTGTGAAAAGCCCCTTCAGCGTAACTGCTCATATTGAAATATTTAAGGAAAGGAGGGAGCAAAGTGCATTGAGGGCAGCCCTCATTAAACCAACTGGAATAACAAACCAATCCATGTATCACCTTCATCCCATACATCTAGCTACTCAATGTGGCTGCTCATTCCCAATAATTGGTTCTTTTCACCCTTGACCTGACTTGATTATCTGCATACAGTAGACATGTTAAATGTATGTCCTAACAATGAAGACAGATTTTGCTATCCAGAATAAGCACTGATAACATGCTCTGCACTGTACAAGACAAAGCATTTTTACCTCCAGGTGGGAAAAAAATATAGGACTGAATCAGTATGGCTACTGCTGGTCAGTGCTGAAGTGCATTGGCAGAGCTGGATAGATTGCAGTATGGCTGCCACGTTACATGGTATATTCTATTCTTCAGTTGTGCAAATATGGAAAGTTTATAGTATGTCCACATTAAAAGAAAAGTGCACTGGCTTCAGCCAGTAGTGTTCATTCCTTACTTTAACAAATACTAGAACTACCCAAAATGTAAGAGATGAAAAATCCTCTCTCAGATTGTACATATAGAATAAGAACAAATCAATACAATTAGGGGGAAAAAATACTTCCAAACCACCTGGTAAATCTCCAGCCTCTAAGAGCTCTAGCTATTCATCTACTCCAGATATGTTCTCAAGTATGAGGAAGTTATTCTCAGGATGTATGATTACAGTCAGTCAAGATAAGACAGCCACTCTATATATTCATTAGAGAATAATGGAAGGCATTAAGTCTGTCATCACTGAAAACCTTACGAGGTGGCCTGTAACATAGCTCTAGCTGTTAATTCAGCAGTCGCCACTTCTGCAGTAGTCTTGCTAATGTATCAGGTACAGAACATTCCAGTGCAGGTGGCTTCAAAACCAGGTTTTATAATAATCGTAACGCTGGCTGTAAAAATAAGCACAATAAGCCAACAATTGGGTACGAAAGTTTGTTCTGAGCCCTCTGAATGAAACTATTATAGTACATTCCTTGCTGCTATATGTGCCTTCTAATTTTTGTTGGCAGGGATCTTCCACCCTTTTTCCTGATCTCCCCACAGTGTAAGAGAGTTTTATCCTAATTAAATTTCATTAGATTGTAAGTTCTTCAGGACAAGGACAATCTTTTACTATGTGCAGGTACAACACACATCTAGCACAACAAGGCCCCAATCTCAGTCATAGCCTCTAGATACTACCGTAATATTGTAATAAATAGACCTTGGGGAGGAAGGATGACAGTTCAGATACAGTTTCTTTAAAATCAAGAAGTTATATGGAGAGAAATGAAGGGCTTGGTCAAAGTGGCAAATGACCTTTTTTAGAAAAAAGAGAGTGGAACAAAGAACCAGACCTGAAACTCAGGATAGCTCTTAAGACATAACAAAGCTGAAATGGAGTAGGTGGACAACCACACATGAATCTTGAAAGGCTTCAGGATTTTAACTGCTTTTACACCTTGATAATATGCAGACTTCTTCCTAACACAGAAAATACAGCAAAATAAAATAACAGTAATAATAATAATAATAACGAAAAATCCCCAAGGCCTCAGCATAAAAATAAAATACTGACAAACGGCAACTTTGACAAATATTGACAAATGCCAATATGGTGTATCTTTTCCAGATGCTGGTATCCATTTCAGTGGTGTGTTTAACCACATATTCAGTAAAGACACATTTTTTTCTAAACATGTGAGAAAATGTTATTCTAAAGTGAGAGCCAGTGTGTAAAATCAGCAGTATGTTTTTAAGCATTATGATTAAACACTTACCTGTGTATCTGCATTCAGAACTTTAATCCTCTGTGTGGAGATGAACAGATCCACTTCAGTCAAAGCCTGGGAATCTCCCTCAGAAGTCTAAAAGATAGTTGCATTGTAGCAAAGGGAATTTTAATTTTCCATTTAAAGGGACATCTCCACTGATCACTTCAAGCAAAATGTAATGTTGAATAATTACATTGCTGAGCTACTACAAAGGCATCTATTCAAAGGTGTTTCCATACACATGCAAATTTAGTATTAGAGGACATTTACCACAGAGGAAGAGATATTTATATTTTGTGGGTGAATATGAACTTTCAGAGCTCATGGATGGTGCTGGATTGACAGCCTGGGGACCAAAGTCCTCTATTTATTGACATAACTGGAGAAATGGCATGGGTGCTTTCCCACGCTGTCTCACCTGCATTTCTCATCCCTGTTCTTGAGGCACCACCAACAGACATCAGAGAGTAGTCTATTCTCCATACCTATTCAATCCTTGCAATTGGTACTGGAATTACTAAAAAGGATGCAAACCAGAGCTAATTGTTGTGGTGACTTAGTTTTTTGTGGACACCATTAGTTGAGAACTGAACTGAGACCCAAATTATTTCACATAAGGCCAAATGGCTTTCAGATGATAATGGGAAGTTTCTTACTGTGTACAGTAACTGGAGTTCTTCAAGATATGTTCTCCATATGCACATTCTACTGGTGATGTACAGAAAACTGGATGGAGTAGCCATGTGTTATTGTGTCCAGGGCCCATTGGTCAGTGGTGATGAAGGATCAAGCATGCCTGAAGCAAGCTAGTGGATTTCTAGAATCATTGGAAGTAGAGCACATCTCTCAACCATACCACCAAAATGAGTGTTTCTGGGATTGGGAAGGTTAGTTGATTTGTGACAGAGCAGTGGGTTGTGCCCTCCTCTAGAAAAGCCGTCATTCCCTAGGTAGTTCTGATGATCTTTGTGGTAGAGGGGCTGGGGGATTGGTCTCTGTGAAGAATATGATTGTTTTATGTGTTTCCTCTGGAGAACTGGCATGTAGACTACAAGGGAACACAGGGTGGCTTATGAGTCCTTCAGCAAGTGGAGGGCTTGTTTGTCTAAGAGATGAACAATTCAGCTCCCTCAAAAGGCAGATCTTCCACTGTTGTTTGGACTTCTCTAGGGAACCCCAATCTCACAAGTCACATTGTCCATCACATAACGACCACCATTGCCACTTATCTTGCTGTTGTATCCACCATGTTGAGCGCTGCTTGGAGACTTGTCCTGGCTACAAGTTGGCCATCTTTAACTAGCAGCATGCAGTCCATGCAGACCTCATTGGGCAGGCTATCCACAAAGACAAGCAGTCTCTTGTGTATACAAGTCATACCTGGCCATTATGGCCTGATAATTGGCCAGGCAAAACTGTAAGCTTGTTGAGGAATAGGCTTTCTGGTCAAATAAATCTAGTCTCTTTGGCTCCCGATCCTTTGGTGTGAACCTGAATTGTTTTGCTTTTTTATTTGTCATAGTGACCACAAGGGAGAATGCAGTCGGGGGGTGGTGTAAAGGAATTCCACACCTTTTAGAGGCGCCTGATATTTTTAACTGCCTTGTGAGAGGTGGAAATGGCAGAAGTGCTAAATGACTTTTTTTTTTCAGTTTTCACCAAAAGGTGTAATAGAGATTGGACATCTAACATAGTGAATGCCAGTGAAAATGAGATAGGATCAGAGGCTAAAATAGGGAAAGAACGATTACAGGAGAGGGTGGGTCAGAAGCAGATCTAATTATTAGGGAAACCTGAAGGTGGGCCTCTGTCCTTCTCTCAGGAGCTGAAAGACTTGCAAATCATACATTTACAGTGATGTGTGATTCTCCCACAATAGCACACAATAGCAGCACTTTGAGCTTCCATCTGAAGCTGGGATAGCTCCCTCACATGAAGGCCTGCATTTGAATACAGGAGAACTGGACAACGCCATACCAGTGACAAAAAGCAATTCTAACAACTAACAGTTGCAACAAGCAACCAAATGATTATAATTAAAAACCATAAAAGCCAACATTATAAACTAAACTGTAAAAACTACTGCTAAGAAGTCTAAGGGAAAGGTTGGCAGTCTCTTGGACAATTAGGTTCCCACCCTAAGCTGTGAGACGTTGAGAGGAACTGAATGGCAGTCTTTGTGCCTCACCCTTATATGCCCTCACAGCGGAGCATGAGGATTGAAGACAGTATGTACACTCTATGGGTACTGCTGGCCACAAAGATTTTGATCTCTAGCACGCACATGAGGTGCATGCACACCATCAGTGCAATGTGCATATCGATAAGCAGTTGAAGGAGAACGTCTGGTCACTTCTGAGTTCTGTTGAATTAGGATCAAAGACCTAGAGGTGAAAGACTCTACATCCCATTACTAATCTAGTTCTCAGTGCAGAAGGGCCCACATCACAATGTCTACCATCACAATGGACACAGAGTAGCACCCTTGTTGGCAGTCTCAGCAGAAACCAAACACTGAATGGAGCCTGAACTACACTTCCATCAGAAGAGGTGTTCCCTTCCAGGTGAGGCTTGGCTCACTGATGAAGCAACACATGGAAGCATGCTCTATTGCTGCCTGCACTCTGCCTATATTTGTGGATAAAGAGAGGACTTTGTTCTCCAAAGGGTATCAATCCAGGAACACTCACCAGCGCTGAATTCAGTCAAAAAAATTACAAAACAAAAAAATGCATTATTTTAAAATTATATTCCAGGTGGGTCAGACAACATGCAAAGAGTGAAAGCCACATTACACTTTGACAAAGAACTAACTGCATCACTTACAGTCAAGACTATCACAAATAGTGAGATTCACTCTTATGACAGTTTTGACAATTACATTTAGTCTGACCCTACTGATGTATATTTTGTGTAATTGGGTGAAATATTTCATCAGCAAATTGTGGTAGTTACCATCTTGAGTTGGAAAATTAAACTGTGCGTGTGCTTAAATATCCAGAATAATTTAATTAATACAAACACAATAAGTCACAGTCATATCAAATAGCATCATCAGCGTTAATTGCTTCTCCTGTTAAAACAAGCATAAGCATTAGATTTTTAAAAATTCTCTCTCATCAAATTGGCTGTTTACTGGGACTGAACAAACCACAGGACATTGTGATATTAAACAGAAGAAGAGCAGCAACAGACAGGCACTCCAGCAAGTGGAAGATGAAAGAAATAAACAAGTGTTTCCTGTTCCATCCAGTGGCCGACTATTAAACAAGTAAAACCAAAATTACAACTTTATGAGGATTTGTAATGAAAAACACAACACTCCACAGGGAGCAAGGACAACAAAAGTGTAAACAAACATTAGCATTCAAGAAAAACAGTTTACACACCGCTTTTTTCTTGATTTTAGCCGCCTTTTGCATCCTCTGAGGAGCAGCATAAAAAGAAAGCAGACAGTTGCACACAAAGAAAGAGAAAAGACAGTGCGTGAAGTCAGGGAAACCTTTTGATTATGATTCCAACCTCTTAAAACTCTTATTTGCAACAAACAAACAAACAAACAAACAAACAAAAAAAGGAGGAGTGATTGGTTTACAAGCTATACAGGTTTGAAGCATATTGGCTCTAATGGAATAATGTACATTGTCAAATGGAGTTATGCATACTGTCAACTGATTACAGAAATACTGTAGAGTGTTGTCTGTTAACAATTGCTCATTACATTTTTTCCTGCTGGACACACCACTACCTAAAATTGCATTCCAGGCACTTACATGTGCACTGACAGGATGTCCAAAGCCCATATTTATTCATTCAAAGAGATACAGTTGTACATACAAAAGTCGTATTAGTCCCAGAAGAACTATTAAGGCACTAACACTTCAACATCAGGCTATGTCTATCATATGGTAGCTCCTACAAACTATTTTAAATGAAGAGTTTCATGCACCAAAATAGGAAAGGCGGGGAATTCCCCTTAAATTTAAGGATACAGTTTCCTGAACAAAAGGATTTAAGGAACACTTTGTCTCTCATACCTTTTAGATCAGGACAGTGCTTAATTTGTAATGAAAGAGGTGCTGGGGCTCAAACAATTTTTGTAACTTTCATAAATGATGCGGCAAACCCAGAGACACCAGGACTATGAATTGCCAAGCTTAGAGGTGCCAGGGCTCAGCCCTGGCACAAAATAAGCACTGGATCAGGATCAAGTTTCATTGGAAGCTTTTGAAATGGACATGTGCAGAGATCAGATACAGAACAGAACAATCTGTGGATAGAGCCTGGACAACTCTTCAGAAGAGAGATTGAGAAATGTGTTGAAGGAGAGTCAAACTCCAAAAGACTACTTATTTTACCTGTGTGGTCGTTGCCCTAACAAGCTGCAAAATACCACTCAGTTATGTTCACTGTATAGACGTGCATGTGAATGAAAGGTCCAACTAATTTCTGTATGAGTGTGTTAATATTTGTGGGGAATCAAACATATGAAAGAAATATATGCAGTTTTAATCTGTTTGCAGAGCATGGATGTCCATGGTAACTTAGCATTCCCTTATGAGAGTTAGGGAAGAAGTAGGATCTACAGTGTGATAGTTAACACAAAGGGCAGGAGTGTATGTGACTCAACAATGCACATTACACTTAGGTATGACACTGTGTGTATTCTCTTCTAGACCCTACAAAGAATCCATGCACTTACTCTGTCCATTTGGTAAAAGCCAATGGATTCCAATTCAGTAACCTAGTACACAGCTTTTGCCACCAGTGATATCACACCTCTCTAATGCTGCACACTTTTTAGGGGGGGGGCAATCAAACTCCAAGTGAAGTTAATGGAAAGATGCCCATCAACTTTAATGGGAGTTGGACCTGGCCTCTAATGAGAATATTTGATACAGCCTTGGCAGTTATCCAAGTCCATCTCTAATAGCTTTAACATTATCTGTGTTCAAATTCGCTCTCAGTTAATGACACCTATAGGAATACTCATTTATTGTGGCCCCCAGTCTTCTTAAAGAATGAGCCTTATCATTGCCCTGTGAAGAATGGTGAGGGAACTGTCATCTGTGTACAGAGATTTCCCTGGCCCGTATGGAAGGGTGTGAGAAACCATACAAACTATTCAGGGAATCCACGCAGAAGATGTATTAGCTTTGGCACAGGGAACCTCCATGCTGAGGAATTCCCCTCCCTTAAAAAGCTGAACTGAAGCAGTGTTATTTGAAAGTTGGGGAGGAATCAGGGTCCCGGGAGACTTGAGGATGCACAGGTCCTCCCCACACACAGCTGTGTGGACTGGCAAATATTGACACTGCAGTCACAACTGAGTCCAGACCCCTTTCTTTCTCTGTGGGAATGCAAACCAAAAAAGGCAGAATTTAGAGGAAACACCAGAACAGGAACTCAAAATTATCCTCCCACCAGGGATCCCTTTTACAGATTTTTCCTCTCCCCACCAACCTCCCCACCATATTTTTGGATTTCTCTATTTACATGATGATGAAGCAACTGCAGCTACTTAGCATATCACTATTTAGTGAGCTAAAAGCACCCATTAAAGAGGAATTTCCAGTAAATTAATTCTGAACCAGTACTGCTCTGCCAGAGAGAGCCACCACTTCCATGTCCCATGAGACAAAGTGAGCTTGGAAAAGCAATGCTGAAAAGCGCTATGTGTCTAGTTTTTTGCTCATTGTACAAGAAGTCTATTCCAAAATGACTCTCCTGGTGAAAGGCAGATTTTGAAGTGAGATTATTTCAAAAAGTTTGCAGTGCCTAATTAGCCCTGCCCTCCAAAAGTAAAACAATGATCTGAGAAACATCTTTGAGACCTGCTTGCAGTACAGTAGTTGCACTATCTACAAGTACCAAACATTCAAATAAAACTGATTAGTTTATAAGCTTCGTATGTACTGCCAAAGATTTGACTCAAGCCATTAAAAATGTGCTACAGAGAAATTATAGATAAGAATTCACTGCTGCAGATCTTTAAACCTTTATTAACACTGAAAACCACTTTTTTCTTATAACTGTAGTGTTACTTTCAGCTCTGCCTCAAACTTCAGATACCGCAGGGACATCATTTTTCAAGTACATCTATCAAATACATTAGGCTGAAGTACCTCCAAGTTCATCCACACTGGACTTCTATGCATCCTTTTTGTAACATGCCAAGTTACTTATGCCTCCTATTTCTAGCATGTGGAGACAATACATGATAATGACATCTCTTACTTCAGCTACATTGGGGCTGCTTTGCACTTCACTTCAAGTGCACTTCAAATGTCACTAATGTTTTTACAAAGTATATTTACAAAAGGCACAAAAAGGTTACAATTTTATGAATAATAAAGCCAGCCACTCTTGTAAGTTAGGCCAGGTCTACACTCAAAAATTAAACCAACCTATGCTCAGGGGTGTGAAAAACCCACATCCCTCCACAATGTAGTTAAGCAGACCTAACCTCTGGTATAGACAGTGCTAGGTCGACAGAAAAAACATTTCTGTTGACTTAGCTACTGCCTCTTGGTGAGGTGGATTAACAAGGCTGATGGGAGAATCCCTCCCGTTTCTGTAGTGAGTGGCTACACTGATGGGCTGCTGCAGTTGTGCTGCTGTAGCGCTTCATATGTCACCAAGTCCTCACTTCTCTTTTCTTCTCTGGGTTTTCTATGAAAATTATAGCCACATCAATCATGTGCATACATCAGACTGCTATACAAAATACGAAGCTGAAAGCTTCTACCAGGACTGCCTTACACCTGACAGTTTAGCAGCAGAATTAATTATGTTCCTTGGTGTTAAATCACAGTCAATGCTCATGTGGTGCTTGTGACTTCTCAAGAATCTCATGAGCAGGAATTCCAAGGTTTGGAATGCTCAAGAATCTGTAGCAGCAGAATAACCACCTTCAACGCCTTCCAAGTCTTTCTAAAGTCCAAATCAAGAATCAGTAAAGAGGTGTGTCTTGCTGAGCAGATTATTAGACCCAAACTGGGTATCTCCAAACATATGCCGCTTCTACTGATTAAATTATTTTAAATGAAATATGTATTTTTTTCTGATTAACACTTTAATCTACACATTTCATATCATGTCCTTAACTACATGTAGATTGGATATAATGGTAGAAATCTAAATAAAACAATTCTACAAAGCATAGCTAAAAAAATTCTCCTGCCTGGATTATATATTCAAATAAAATGCATTTATTTTATTGACCACAGAAAGCATAAAATATTTCCATGCAAGTCCATGGTTTTAAGTGACACAAACACAGATCTGGTAATGAACCTTCTTGCCTTAAGAAAATAATATTTTGATGTTTTTGAAATGCTTTCAACTGCTTACATAACCAATTACAGGATCTAACATGGCAACAGGAAGAAATCAGTCATAAACCAGTCTTCTATGCTTTACACTTGGAATTGTTTCTTATTATAGTCTGGATTTTACCTTTAGTACTTATACTGTGCAATTTGGAATAGCTTCTGTAATAATTTATATTTTGTTCTTCAGAGGATTTGTATGTTCTACAAAGCTAGATACTGGAAACAGCGAGGATTTTCACATCAGCAGATATGTATTCACTTGAGTGCACCTCTAAGTAGGTTTGAAGCTTCAGACATTTCAGACTATTCAGAGTTCAGTTATCAAGGGAGTCTATTCTACAGACCATAAAAATCACCTACCTTGACACGGCTCACTGCCTCTTGAGCTTGCATCATTCTTATATTTTTGGAAGGGTTACGTTCTGAGAGCAGCTGTGTAGAACCCAAGTAATTGGCTGCAAAGATGATTCCATCAATGAGATCTTCAGGTTCACAGGGTCCTGGAACTACAGACAGGTATACAATTATTACCTTCCAAAAGGGAGTAAGGCGACAAAAAACTTAATCAAGGGTATTGATACTTGCATGACCTTTCCTAATACATTTCTATACTTACAACAGCCTAATTAAGAGAAGCATTGCAGAGTCCAGCACACATTAAACAGTACACTTATTTCCCATAATTATGACTCAAACACCTAAAAAGCAAAAGTGTAGTATTTAAGAATCTGCATAATGTTTTGATCTTGGAATTGGAGAGTAGTTCATTGTAGCATGCTGCTGTGGGAAAAATACAACAGAGTTCTTCACTATACTAGGCCAAATACTGCTCTCAAATGCATGCACAAGCTTTCTTCCAATTGATATTAATGTAACATTCATAATATGTTACACGTATTGAGATGTTCTTATCTGTGGGCCAAATTCTGTTCTTCTATTTGGGTTTCTTGGTACCCATATTTGTCAATGGGAATGAAAAAAGTGCACAGATCGCCAAAATCTTTGCCAAAATACAGAACCTTGTTAGCTCACACTAATGACTGAGACACCATGGGCAACAACTGCATGTTGTGAATCAGCAAGTAAGGAAACACAAGAACACTTCATGTATCAAATTCTAGGGTTGATACAGGTAGGTGTGATGTAGGGGGTCAAATGTTAGAGCATCACATCCAATGTACAACAACCGGTAGATCTGAGACAGAGTTATTTCTTTGCTGTGGTGGATGATGTTAATGCAAAAATGCACAATCAAAACAGCACTTCATTTCCTACACCCAAGAACTTTAAAAAGGAACAAAAGCTGCGAGGAGACTCTTTGTGTCTGTGCCACTGATTTTTCCATTTTAAAATAATACATTTCTTATGCACGCCATCACTCTCTAAAGTTACAGAAGTAATTCTGTATGCAAAAATACACAAAGAAATTGGGAGGATGGTGATACAAATGAGCATTTAACATCTATTTTACCAATCATCATCTATGTTAACACCCCTCCGAAAGCTCTTACGCTCTTCTTATTGAATTTAGTAAACTGCCTAACATATGGAAAGAAAAACATTTAAACACTAAGTAACACTGCGGCACACCAACAAGCATGTCCTGCTACAGGCATTTGGCAGAGGTAGGAACGACTCAACAGATAGTCTAAGCACACATTTAGCAGAAAAGATCGTGTTTCACAGAGAAGGCTGTCTTCATTGGGCAAAGAAACAGTAAAGAGATCAACAACCCTTTGTAGGGCTGTCAGTCAGGCAAAAACATTGGTCAGAAACAGAAGATTTGGAGGACATTTGTGTACTTTGCTTCAAGAGAGGACCACCACTGAACTTCAAGGCCTGAGGACAATGCTACCCACAACAGAAAAGAAGCTGTCTTTGTGCTCTCTGGCCACATGATGTACCTGAGTTCAGGAACAGATTGAGACAGACACCTTCCAGACTTGTACAGATGGTATAAACTAATAACTGGGGAATAAAGAAGTCCAAATAGCCTGCCAAGGATTAACACTAAGGGTAGAGCTGCACAGCACATCAATCACCCCATCCATCTGAAAGAAGGGAAGATGCCAGATGGCAGCTGAAGAAGAGGAAAAAGTGGACAGATTAAAAAAAAAAACCTGTAGTCAAAAATGAAGAGAAAATAAGGATATGTGGAACTTATTTTTTATGAATATTACTCAAATTTAAGCTCCAATCCAGAAAAGCACATATACACATGTTTAGCGTAACAGATAGACTCACTGACTTCAGTGAGATTTTCAAATTAATTACCATTTTACAAACTGCTTTAGCAACTGCCAGGATAATTTTCCAGGGATGGAAAAAGGAGAGGTGGCGGGACGGAGAGAGAAATAAAGGATGGTATTTATACTGTACTTGTGTTATGCTCATCTCCTTTATTTAATGGTTAAGCCTTATTTTCAGCTTGATTACATCAACACTAAAGAGGCAGTCACTCCACAATTTTGGCACCAATCCCTTGACTGTAAATACTCTGTGTTCCCCAACAGCTCTACAACGGGAACTTGCTATGAGCCATATCAACATGCCAAGCTGCTAAACCATCTCTCCCAAGTAAACAAATTAATTGTGTGAGGGGGAAAAGGGGACATTGAATGGAGATGCTAATTTAATTTAAAAAAAAAACCCAAACCCAACAACAATTTTCTGGTAAAGTGAACTTTCTTACGTATATAACCAACTGAACTTGTCTGGTGCATGCATGGGTAAGCCCTTGAACAGGAAAAATAAATACCATGCTTCAATGTTTAGAGGTAGCTACTCACATCTACTTTAATTCGTGGATACTTCTAATTCCTCGTTGTCCTAAATTCTAATTTTAAAAAAATCATCAAACACAAATTAAGTGTGATTAAACCCTTAAATTTCTTCATCAGAAAATGCTGCTGCCTCTTACACTTCCATACAGACCAAACGTCTGACTGCTATAATGTCAGCCTGCTGCAGAAACAAAACAGTCTTGGTAATTCGGTAATCACAGTACATTTTAAAAAAATCAATACTAACAGCCCCACGGTCTCCAGAGGCCTAACATTAACTAACCAACATTAACACAAAGTGGAGCAATTTGTTCAGTTAGGGAACACTGCAGTTTCAAACTTCCGAAGGATAATTATTTACAACAATAGGCCAGATTTTGCTATAATCTAAACTAATGTAAATCTATTGCTAATCCACTAACCTCAATTGAGTTACTCTGGATCTTGATCAATGTGACTCAAAGCAGAATTTAGCCCAGTGTGCTGGGGAGAGAATTTTTGTTTTAAATAATTGAACATACTTTCACAGTACCCTCTAAAAAATTAGAAGGAACCTCAACCAACTCTGTAGGAGTCTACTCATCAAAGAAACTGCATGACCAGTTCCACAGTGGGTCAAGTCATTTGCCTAGTATCTCAAGAATCAATTACAGTGGGTGCAGTTCTAAACTACTGAATGAGTAAGAACAATCAGAGCAAAAATTCCACAAAGACACCAGATTTTAGATTTGTGATCCCATCTAATGAGCTAATTTCAGCACAGTTTCTCTTTAAGGTATTCTGCTCCCCTCTACCATGCTTCACCAAAAAGGATATATACTTTACAAAGAACTGATGCATCTCTTTGCTGAAATGTATATAATGCCTTTTCAGGCCTAGCTTTTCATCTCATGTATCTTTTTCTCTTCTACAGCACACAACTAAACATATGGGCATAATACTTACAAATCCTTTCCTATACAATCATTGGCAAGTCAAGCAATGACCAGAAGTCTGATCCATAACACTGCAGGATTTGCAACAAAATACTTCAGAAAAGGAAGTGACACTTATCTACAAATATAGGCCCCCTACCCTGTTTTCTTCACACACGCCATCTACTGAATTCAAAGGTGTATAAGGTGCTCATGAAATGCAGGGTTTGGTTTATCCTTGGCAATATCCCATCTTTTGTAAGTCTCTATAGAAATAGATTTTTGTCTCCATTTCTGTTCCAAAGTACTGGGAGACTACTTGAAAGGCACTTTACCTTCACAGACATCAGCATTCAGTTCTGTGTTTCCTCTGCTATATTTAACGACATCACTAACACCTCGAGTGGAGCATGGAGCTATAATCCCTGCCCTACTTTAGGTGTCTATGTATTACTGACTGTTGCAAAAGAAAAAAGGGCCATGAATTCATGTCAAGTGTTCCCAACAGTTTAGGGACAGTGAACATGACTTTCAGCTTGTTTGTTTTAAAAACAGATTTACTATAGAAGTAAATTATTACCTAAAAAAGTCTCAAATAATTTTATTAATGCTTCAGTTGGGGCAGAAAAGCATGTCTTAAAATAGCTTTATTTATAAGGTTTTATTTCAAGGATTTTGATTCACCTTAATGTATCTCCTTCATCTTTTCAAAGAGAAACTTTAGTGGATGATATTGGCAAGATCATTATGCTATCAACAGATGGCGGTTGACTATATTGTTATCACAACCTCAGCAACATTTTTTACATCTTATATACCAAGAGCTTATACAAAGAGGCAGTGGGTAAGGGGAAGCATGCTATGTGGATAAATCTTCCAACAGTTTTCCATCAAGAAGGAAATGGAGATATCCTTCAGATGAGAGAACACATCTGTGCAATTGATGTAGAGAGCATTACTGCAATTTGCAAGGGGTCAAACTGGTTAACCTGAGTGGTCCTTTCTAGATCAATTATAGCTTTGGAAAATGTAACAGTTCACATACATACTTGGCTACAGTCCCAGTTCAGCAAGGCACTTAAGCGTGTCCTTGACACTAAGCAAGTATGTAAGTCTTAGGCCTTCTCTACACCGATAGATAGACTGTGAAGTAACTCCCAAGGTGTACACACTGCCAAGCCACTTAGTACGTAGAAATTCTTCAGTTGCAGCGTTGCAAAACAACCACCTTGACGAGGGTTGTAAGCCTTACAGCACAGAGGGTCCAGCGCTGTATTGGCAGTGTAAACACATTACAGAGCAGAAAACAATTAATTGGCCTCATAATCCCTCAAGTGGTCGCTCTGCTCATTGTTTTGAGCTCGGCTGTCCTGGAGACGTGCCCCTCCCCTTTCAAAGCTCCATTTCTTACAGCCCTTGCATGCTGTGCTGATCTGCTCCGGGACACAAAGCAAACCATTAATGTGGAATGCTCGTGCTGTTGAAGACAGAGGCTGGTGTGTGTGTGTGTGTAATGTGGAATGCTCGTGCTGTTGAAGACAGAGGCTGGTGTGTGTGTGTGTGTGTGTGTGTAGGCAGGGGCTGATGTTGGGGTTTCCCCCTCCCCCAGGACTGGTTGCTTCCTGCTGCTGTCTGAACTTACAAGACAGGGTGCTGACACACGCACTGTCCCGCAAAACACACTGTCTCTCCTCCCCCAATCCATACACACACATACTCCCTGTCACACACTCTGCCCCCGCCCTCCCTTCAGCTGAAAAGCAGCTGGCAATGTAGTAGGATGCCCATGGAACAATGGGATTGGGAAACCTGCATCATGTGATGCTGTGCCTTCCCCATAAGGCATTGCAAACCCTTCCCAAAGCATCCTGCGGCGAGTTGCACAGTGGGATAGCTACCACAATGCACTGCTCTCTCTGCTGTTGCAAGAGCTGCTAATGTGGATGCGCTCCAGCATCACAAGGAGCACAGTGTGGACATGCAACAGCGGTTTAATTCCAGCGCTTTAATAAAAGTGGTATAACTTGTTGCGCAGAAACTTGCCAGTCATAGACATACCCCTACTGACAGCGAAGGCAAGGAATGGGAAAAAAATACACTGCAAAGCTGGAGAAAGACAAATTTAGTTTGAAAATAGGCTTGAATTTTATGCTGCCTCTTGATGTTACTGATAAAACAATTATTTCTTTAAAAATATATATGATTTTAAGTTTAGACAGTATCTCTTTAAAAAGGCATTTGATGTCCTGGGTTTTTATTTTGGTAGTATAACATTTAGCAATACCATTTCTTTGCTGTAGGATGTAAGTGTCCTATAGAATGAGGCTCTTCTAGCAGTAAGCATAAACATATAAAAAAAACAAACCTCAAAACACAACAATACTGCACTTGGGGGCATGAGATATTCCAAGAAAAATCAACTGAATTCAAGAGAAGGAATCTGTTACCAATGCAAATCTAATAACAGCAGGCCAAATATTCAACAGGGTCCCTTAATTGTGCTTGCAAAAAAGTCTGTTTGCACCCGCAGGACAGGTAACTGCATGTGCAGACACTTTGCATATGCAAATGCATACAACTACAAATACTGCTACCCTGGTTAAGGAGTGCTGCTGAAAATGTGTCCTTAAATAGTTAATTGGATGCAGGCTAGTGCACTAATGTGGTACCTCTGTCAGAGTTCACTGCAGAAATAGGAAAATGTTCAGTGGTTAATGGCAGGGACTTTTTCATTATGTGTGGGTACTATGCCCAGCACAATGGGGTCCTGTGCGATGTCTGGGGGCCCCAGTGCAATACAAATGAATAGCAGTAATAAAACACAGGGCATTTTGGCTTTGGATTCAGGGAGAAATCTGATTAGCCAACATGAACTCCTTCTGTACCATGTACTTTTGTGATTGTACCATACCTACATGACAGTGAAAAGCCAATAGACAGTTCATCCTCTCTTGCTATGCTATTGAAGAAAAGAATCAGAGGAAACAAATTTTACTAAAACTTAAAATAGGTGTTTCATGCTATCCTAAAAGCTATATGGATCCTATTTTCAACATGAGAGCAGTGAACTTTTAAAACAGAAAGAAAAAACAAAACATTCACAATACCAAAAAAAAAAATGTTTTTAATTACTTATGGAAGTACTGTAAAGTGTTTAGTTTTCTAGCATCTAATTTCTACAGTCTCTCTGCCCTCCCCTCCTTTACCCTGGTCCACTGCACAATTCTGTTCGTAAAAAGAAAAGGAGTACTTGTGGCACCTTAGAGGCTAAGAAATTTATTTGAGCATAAGCTTTCGTGAGCTTTCATGCATCCGATGAAGTGAGCTGTAGCTCACGAAAGCTTATGCTCAAATAAATTTGTTAGTCTCTAAGGTGCCACAAGTATTCCTTTTCTTTTTGCGGATACAGACTAACACGGCTGCTACTCTGAATTCTGTTAGTGTTTATTTCCAAGTGCCAGCATTCCTTCTTGATTCTTCTGCCTGCAGGGAATGTGTTTAATTTACTTCAATTTAGGGCTTGTTAGCCAGTAAATGCCAAGAGTTTAAATGTAAGTTCCTTCAGCAGTCAATCTGTGTAAAGAGGCATTAGCATGACTCAGGAACCTCTTGATGCCAACTGGCAGAGGGCACAAGGGATGCACAGAGTTTTACTGAGAACCCCTATATCACAATAATATGCACAATATGTTATATGCACAATAATTCACTAACGGGTGGCATGTGAGGGGGTCTCCTGAGAGCCAGTAACATCATCAAAACCATTATGAAATGCATGTAAGGCTCATATTTAAAGGAGTTATGTACCTTTACTGGAAATTATGTTTTTAAGGTCTGTAAGTTGAAGCAGGTCACCAGAAGGTGACAAACATGTTCCTTTCATATTGGCAAGAGAAGGTGATATGTCTGTTGGGTTATATGCAAATTTAGTATTGTTTACTTCACAATGGAAGCTTCGGCTCTAGTAAGATTTTATTTTACAGGTAACACTTTGTTTCCGATATTTCTGCTTGCTATCATTTTTGAATTTGTTCTTTGTTAAATAAATGCATAGGTGCATTCTCTATCAACAAATCTAAGTGCTGCGTGTTAAGTGGCACAGTGGTCCAAGGTGTAACTGGTAAGCTGCAACATACTGTTCCTTTGCAACAGTGGGTCTAATACTTCTGTGAGTGTCCAGAGGATCCGGGGCTGGACATTACAGAAGGACGCTCGGGAGTTACAGTGTGCCTATCACTGACTTGCAGAGGAACAGCAGAGCTTGCATGGGCTGAAGGGATCACTTGTGCTGCCTATTGCTGGGGGTGTCAGGGAGCTGACCTCTAGCAGGCACAGACAAGGCTTCCTCATAGGAACAGCAGGTGCTAGAGAGGTGCCTCACAGCCCTGGATAATCCTGGGAACCATCACAGGTAGCCTTTAAACTTACCATTTGCACTGTCTCTCAAGGAAGCTACTGAAAACAGAAGCTGCTGCTCAAGCCAGTGAGATCAGGAAGCTGGGAAAAGTCTGCCCAAGAAGTATATATTTCTAAATGAAAATACATTGATCTTGAGGAAGGACTGGTCTTAAAAATTGAATTCTTTAAGATCTATGGGGGAGAGAACTGTATGTGTCAGCATAATAGAATTAACAAGTAAAATCCTCACAAATCATGTCTGAGACGATATTTCAGCTATCTGCAGGGAAATTCATCAAACCAACATACAAACCTGAAGAGCTCATCTTTCAGCATTTAAACTGGATACCCAACCTTTTAGGATCAGGCCTTAATATGCATGTTTGTTCTGACAAGTGGGTGTTTTTTCAGTTGAAAACTGTAATTCCCTTTTGTCTTCTGCAAAGGTGAGTATCATATATTTATTACTTCTGTAACTCAAAACTCACGAGAGGATGAGCGTTAGTTGTTGTTTTTTTTCTTTCCAGTAAAAGATAATCTTTTAATAAAGAAATCAAGGTTGCTGGTCTGGAAAAGGTCAGGATAAACAGAAAGGATGCAACTAAGTGAACCTTGTATCCACTGTGATCAAAATATGATTGTTATGCAAGAAAGTGATTGTGTAGATGACATTCATTCTAAGGGAGATTTCTAGCTCAACCAGACGTCATGGGTTGGATGCAGGAATCATCTGACCTTCTGTGTTACACATGAGGTCAGACTAGACCATCATTAGGTCCCTTTTGATTTTAAAGTCTATTAATGTAATTTGCCAGTGTTTAAGCTAGTTATTAAAGTGATACCCAAAAGCCTTCATTCAGCAAAGTGGTTAAGCCTAATATGCCTAACTTTAGGCCTAACTTTGAGTAGTCACACTGAAGTTATGTGCTTAAAGTTAGGCGTATATACAAATATTTTACTGAATCAGGCTAGACATTTTCACTAATTTAATAGGAACAATGTGAATAACGAAGCTAAATTGACCAGCATATTTAAAGATGGCCGCCTAAGAGCCTGCACAGGGATGCAGGGCTCCTCTGTTGAGCCTTCCTCTATCAGCTGTCTGAACGTGCATGGAAGCAGTGTCATTACTTCCAATTCAAACTCTCACATGGATTCAATTAGCTCCAACCAAGCTATGACAGCGGATAGACTCTTTGTTAGGAGCAGAGTGAATTACAGTCTGGGACTGACTTGTTCTGCAGAGAAAATTCAAGGACCAGCCAAGTTTGGGAACAAAGTTTAGGCTGAAATTTACATTATGTTTTTTTACTGATAACTCCGTTAAGCTGAACCTAAAGAAGGGATAGGTTTGAACATTATTCACTGTATATATGCTCTGTTGAGAGCAGGGTGAGAAGCTTTCCAGCTTATACATAAGGTATATGTTGTGCATAAATATATTATGCCTGTTTCTTACTCAAACTTTACAATTGCAAAATCTTGGATTTTTGGTGGGGTTTTTTAGTATATTGTTTTATACTGCTGTAACCTTAGAATACAGTCAAATTTACTTACCATCAACAAAACTTGGAAATGAAGACACTTTCTTTGTCTGTTGGGAAGTAAAAATAATGCACTGTATAACTATCAAAACAGCAAAATCAAGTTCAGATTACAAAGGATAACTTCTATTATATTTAATATAATGAAAGATCCATTTTTACACTGAATTCTTTAAAATTATTTAATTTTCTCTTATAGTTTTACATGGCGGCTATTTAAACAGTATAATGTTTTTAAATACCATTAATTTCATGGGTCTGTAATTAAAAAAATAAAATACTAAAAATACCCTGCAAAACTAGAGTCTTGGTCTATAGTGGAACCCCCTCTGTGTTGGTACAGTGCCTAGCATAATCCCTTATCTTAGTTGGGGGCCCTAGGTGCTACTTTAATACTAATCAATGGAAGTTCAGTTCATAGACTCCCTTACTAACAATGTTATGCCAGTTTGAGCATTAATGTCTCCAATACAGGAGTTAATTTCCCCAATAATGGAAGAGGGCTTTTTGTGTGTGCAAGTCTTCATTTACATTACAGGCTACTACTACCATAACTCCCTTGTGCGCTTTTTAGATAACAGACCCCTCAGATTTTAAGCATCATGTCTGGCCCCAAGCACATCCTCACTCTGCATTCTTAGACTCCTTCTTTGCTCCATTATTCAGTGCCACTAGCCCATCTCTGGTGTCTATCACAACATCTTTTTCACATCTGACTGAGCAGGTGCACAGCTCACCATAGAGGCCACTTGTAAGGCTGTGAATCAGTTGGGCCTTCAGCTGTGAACGATGTGATGTGTGGATCAGTTGGTAGGGATTATTCACAGAGATATTATTCAGGAATTTTAGCAATCCTTTGACTCCAAATGCAGCAATTTCACATAAGAAAGAGGTGGAGAGGAAACCAGGCACATTCTGATGTTGCCTTACTTTCCAGTGGCCCCAGAAACAAGAATTTCTGAAGTCTCCTTATATCACCTGAACAACAAGTAATCTGAAGACGGGGTTTTTTTTACCCATGAAAGCTTATGCCCAAATAAATCTGTTAGTCTTTAAGGTGCCACTGGACTCCTTGTTGTTTTTGTGGATACAGACTAACACGGCTACCCGCTGATACTTATATCACCTGAACATTTTAGGGCTGTGTTTATAAAATGGGCAGTTATAAAAAGTGACTGCTGCTGCTACTGGTTCATGGAAGCTTTGTGAGCTGCAAGAAACATGCAGTCATGGAAGCTGCTGTTGCGAGCGAGCGAGAGATTAGGTCATCCTCCCCATTTAATGAAATATTTGCTGCTCATGATGGGGAGAAATTTTGGGGGAGAAAGGAGAATAGGAGCCTAAGGTGCTTACCTCTGGTGCATTATTGTTGTCAATTGGTCCATTTAGGTCAGAACGTTGTTGTTTCCTTGGCTGTTCTAAACCATTGCACACCTGTAAGGAATCAGAGAAACACTTTCATTCCTTTTTCAACCCACTCCAAAATAAATCACAAAGAAAATAATCATCACGCTAGATGTTTCCTTGAATGTTATTGATTGAAGATATGGTAAGAGAATGACAGCAAAAAAGTGCCCCAAAATGTCATCTGCATTCAAGGAAGACACCCAATCCGTAGTGCCGCCACCATGTGTTTGAAACAAAAGTAGTTCAGATAAACCAAGTCTATATTGTTCTTCTCAAGTCTTCAAAATAGGTCTTAAGGGGACTTAAGGGATGCATAGGCCTCATTATTAGAGCCCTGCGCGGATACAAAAATGTGGATCCACATCTGATCCGCATCCGCCAGGATCAATCCATGATCCAACCAGTGATCCGCTAGCCGTCTTTTACCTGTATCCACATCTGCACCTGCAGAAGCAAGGCGTCTCACAAGCGCTAACGACAGGGGAGGGAGGGGAAGAAAGTGGAGGGTGGGGTCTTGCAGGGAAGAGGCAGCGCGAGGGTGGAGACAGGAGGTAAGGGGCAGCACAGGGGTGGGGTCTTGAGGAGAAGGAGCAGTGCGGAGCGGGAGGACTGGGGGGAAAGGGCATCGCATCATGTGCTGTTCCTGGGGGCTCGTGAGCGATGCCACATGGAAGCAGCAGTGCATGTTGCATCACAGTGGGGTGGAGGGGTGGGGCGCCGGGGCCCCGCCCTCCCCAATACCCATGGCCAGGAGTGGGCCCTGCTGCCCAGGAACCAGCGGCCCGGGGCCGGGACTAGGAGTGCAGCTAGTGCTGCTGAGCCAGGCAAGGGTGGGGACGCTGGTGCTGCCCAAGGGGCCCAAGCTGCTGGACAGGAAGCGGGGCAGCGAGCGGGTGAGTAGAGCCCTGCGTGGTTGTATCTGCATCCAATCCACTATCCACAAAAATGGTCGGTCGATAGCCGCATCAGCTATGAAGCGGATACCTGCAGATTTGCAGGGCTCTACTCATGATGGCCCTATGCACAGTGGTGAATTTCACACAATATGCATAAACGAAAGCTAAAATCCCAGCGCCAGGTCACAAAAGCAGTTTAATTTGAGTGTTATAGTAATAAGAAAGAGGGCTTGATTCTATTTTTCCTATCACCTTATTCTGATTTTGTAGGGCCCTCATCAGCCTGACCCTTGAACATGAAGGTTGTCTCCTACAAGTTGCTGAGTGGCCTCAACACCCTTTGACCACAGTGGGAGTGGGGGGCACTCAATGGCATGCAAAAATCAAGAGAGAGGTGAGGGGCCTCACCGAAATGGATGTTTCAGATCTGAGAAAGGGAACCATAACTCTGACAGATTCCCACCCCTCATCATATCTACAACCTTTTAGGCCACACAAGTCCTAAGGAGAATGCTGGCATAGTGGCAGCAGGGCTTCCAGCCTGCCATGGCAACTCAAAAAGAAAATCTTCAAGCTCCACACCAGGGAAGTGCAAAGCATTTCAGATCATTCCCTTGGTAATCCTATTTTTCTCAGGAGCAGAACCCTTTCCCCACTTCTGATAGAGGCTGTGGAGCCCTGACAGTCTGCTGGTACAAGGGACAACCCTCTTCCTCAGTTGCCAGGAAAGGATTGTTGTAGGGCTACGCAACACGACTCAGATTCAAGTTCAATTCTTAGACACCTAGAAAACTGAGTATTTCTAACTTTGCCACAGATCCTCTGTATAATTTTTGGCAAGTCACTTAACTTCGGTGTCTCGATTTCCCCTACGTATACTTGCATGCCTCAGAGTGGTGTTGTGCGGCTTTATATTAAGGTTTGTAAACTTTTTTGAGATCTTTGGATTTAGAGTGCTATATGTTAATGCAAAATATTGCCAGTTTGTTATTATTTCCAGGTGGCAGTGTGAAAGGTGATTTCTGATCTGCTTAGCCCCTCTCGCTTTCTGACCGCCTCCATGCCAAAATGTAGCTGTAGGCTAGAAGGAATTTGTATATTTGAATCAGAGACAAATTTTTCACTAAAGGGATAACAGTCAGTCAGCAGGGCAAAAACTTGACTCTGTAGTACTACTGTAGGGGACATAAATTCCTCTAAACTCACTCTCATTAGCTTGATTTTCAGATATGGCAACTTGGTAGGGCATAGTCCAAGGCTCCTTCCAAGAAAACACGATAGTCTCAGGAAACAAATGTCTACTGCCCACACTATCAAGAGTTCTGGGGGGAGCTTTATAAAGCTCTATAGCAACTTTGAACTAGATACTGTACATAGCTATGATAGTCAAGAAGCTGACTACATTCTCTTAATGTCTACAACAGCTCTTCTGTTTGAGACAAATCTTATGATGTTGGATGGTTAAACAAATACGGTACAATAGGTGCTGATGTGCAGTGAAATACGTTAATATGGGTGAACAAATATCCACAGTCTCAGAACACCACAATTATCATAGCCAAATCATTTTTAAAATACTGGGATTAGATCAGAAATGCTTTAAGCAGGGGTAATGATATGACCGTACTAAAAATAGATCAATTTGTAAAAAAAAAAAAAAAAATGACAGTAAATATGTTGGCTCAAATATGTGTAAGAGCATTTAAAATTTTTAATTTATTTATTTTAAAAAGACTGTCAGTTCTGATTACTGCATACCTGGCTGAACTGAAAAATGCATCAGCATGTAACAAATGAACTGGGTTAGAACAACACTGAATTGGTTTGGTGAGCATATACTCAGTGTAGTAAATTAGATTTGAGATGGCTATATACTCCAAGAAATAAAGCCTAATATAAAAAGATACAGCTGGACATTAGTCAGTCAGATGCAGTTCTGATACAAAAATCCCCTTTGATGGTAGTTATGCTCAATTTCATATGCAATTCCATACTATCCTAATGTTAGATCTAACTATTTCATCATTTAGATGAGACTCTTTAATTTTTAAATTATTTATAGTAGACATTTCCTGAAATTGCTGTTTTCAGAAAGGACCTTGGGTTCACTTCATTCCTTTAATGTTTGCGGTCACATATTTACTATGTATGTTATATGTTAGTTTGTAGAAGCTATGACTGAGATCAGAATCCCATTATGCAGAATCCATAACCTGTAGAGATCCTTTAACCACCTCTCTATTCAATATATTACCTGCACTCATAAATGTGTCTTTATTTACTTCTTACTTTACTTTAGTTAGCCTCACGAAGTGTAGGAACTCTCTATGGTGACTCTAGGCCCACAGAGCCTTGGCAGCAAGGATGGGGACTTGGGCATGACTGAGTAATGGGATTAATGGTTCCTGCTCCCTTTGCACTGCCTGCTCAGCAAAAAGGAAGGGTAACAGGGCAGACTGTCTGGACCCTTGACCTTTCTCAAATAACATGTTTGGCCCCAGGCGAGAGGGTTGAACAGCACAGCTCTAACATGTCTTGCAGCCCAGCACTGGCTGTGTGATTCACTCAGGAGATGGGGAACACACCTGAGTGGATCCGTTCAGGAAGGTGAGAGAAGAGCAACAGCATCCCAGAGAGGAAACCTGAGGTTCTCAGAGGTGATTTCATTGTGAGTCATTGACACAAACAGGGAAGCAAAGCCCAAAGCCCTTGACACAGCGAAAGGAGGAAACTTGCCAAATTGTCGCAAAAGAGGCAATGTTAACTCCTTCTCTGCCAGTTCTCCCCAACACCTGTTTTGTTGTCTTCACCCATTAATCCTTTCTCTACCTGTCCTCTCCTGCATTCGCTATACTTTCCTTCCCCATTAACCCTTTCGCCACGACCCCATGGCCCATATCTCCCATTCTGCTCTCCCATTAACGTTTTCTCTGCTTTTCCTCCTGCACCGCCACTGAACTCTGCTTGCCTATTATTTTTCCCCCATGCTCATTTGGATGCAAGCCCACTGTGTTACCTTTGCCCATTCGCACGTCCCTTAGTGGTCCCAGTCCTCAAAGATTTCACTGCAAATCACGGACCCTCATGTGGGTAAAAAGGGGTGCCAAGTAATTTTATTTTAAAATTACTAAAACTATTAGGCCAGCTCTAATAATTGTTTCTCTTAAGATTCAGGGGTGCGGATCCCATTACTTTACTTAGCCTCAATGCATGAAGACTACAGTTTATCCAGTGACTCCTTTAAATAATTATGAGTCCCACTCCACAGTTTTATTTACACAGGATGTTGGGTGCAAATGATTCTTCTACCTGCATTGTTTGTTTATCAGTTTGATTAACTGCTGTGTTCCATATCTGATCAATCTTCAGAGTTTGGTCTTACATACAGGTGCAAGGGGGACAGTGAGAACAGGGGGAAGCAATCCAGCTAAAAAACAGAAGACCACTCTATCCTCTCCTTACCTCTTGGCCTAGGGGAGCAGTGCTCTCCCATGCCTCTTCATTGATGAAATGAGGACTCACCAGGCAGAGGAATCTGAAGTGAAAAGAGGAGGAGGAGTTTGAGGAGTTTCTAGGCCTCACGCTCTTCCTGCAAGTAGGGTGAGAGGCAGCAACTAGAGCATTAACACTAAGGGGTGATCTCTATTCTAAAGGTACTCCTCTCCAGGAGGAGTGGGGAAGAAGAGCTGCCACAACTCCAGGACCACCTCCTCCTCAAAGAGGAAAAACACTTAGCCTTTGATTTAGATGTCACAGGACAAGACTGTGTAGAAAGTGCAAACTAGGCTCAGTTGCCCACATATTTCATACACAGCTAGAGCTAGGAAGCAAGTAGTCTTATTTATATGGAAGAAGATAAGGCAGTTGACCAATGCAAAGCAGGTTGAGACTTTGAGCCAACGCAAGCCAGATGTTAAAATAATATTAGAATTTAGATTTTCCAGGAGGACTCCATAGAAGAGTCTAAAAGGCCTTCAATTCCACTACTAACACAGACATTACTGGATACACCTGTTTTCTTAATGTTAATTTACAGAATTTCCAGTTTGCATTGATACTGGAAGTAAGTGACAGACAGCTAAAGCTATAATACTTAGAAAATGAAATTTGAGGAAACTATCTACAACTGAA